TAAATAAATATTTTAATATCTTAAACAATCCTGAATATATCGATTCACCCTTAATTAAATTTCTTTGTTACAAAAACAATTGGAGAGAAGATTTGTGTTAAAATTTCTCGACTTAGAACAAAAAATTAGGCTTCCACAATAATAAGCAAAATAAATTTCTGTTTAACGTAATATAATTTATTGAAAAAAAAGCAAACATATTTTTTCATGTCAATATGTAAAAAAACATATAATTGTTAAATAAATGATAAAAATTAGGTATTTTACCATTAGGCGACAGATTACCTCATATTTAGAGTATTTTAACCGTTTTTCATACATCAAATTAGAAATATTTTGATTTTTCTGTAATAATTAAATTTTGATATACCACGTGATCAAATAAAATCAACACCAAAGTAAGCATAGAAATATGATTTCAGTTCTAATTTTACTATGCCTATTGTATAACTTCTTGAGTATCAGTTGACTAAGTGAGTGAGAAAAAGTTAATAATAGCGGACACAAAATAAAAAAAGTTTCCAGCCAAAAACTATCTATTATTTTAAAAAATATATACAGGGTGGTCCGAATTGTATTCCGGAAACTTCAGCAGCATATTCTGCAGATAAAAATAGGTAAAAAAGTTCGTATAAATGTATGTCCGAAAATGCTTACTTTCGGAGATACAGGGTGTAGAAATTTCATTTTTATTTCGATTTTTTCCAAATAACTTCTGAAGTAATGTCAATATTTAGATGAAAATTGGTGTCTGGGAGTTTTTTGACAAGAGAAATTTGATTTTGATGTCAATATGACTCCTACTAGTAGAGGGCGCCACCTACATGTATTTTAACTGTTTTGAAGCGTAATAACTTTTTGTCCGTACCTGTATAAAACTACCGAGGGAAAAAATATACATCTCTGTGATTTTTTACGTAAATAATATCTCTTTGTAAAAATCGCTACGAGCAACCGTTCTCAAGATATTTAGAATGGAAATAGTCATCACATGCCATTATTGAGTAAAAATAAACACGTTGAGTAGATAGTTAATTTCACTGAAATAATAAATTTGGGAAATTTATATATTTTTAAATTAATCATATTTTTCTGCAAAAAATGATGATAAAACAGTTTTTGTTGAACTTTTGGTACAAAAACATTTCAAATTTATGATCTCAGTCTAATAACTATTTAGTCAACATGTTTAATTTATGTCAGTGATGACAGGTATTGATAATTTCGATTCCAAGTATCTCGAAAATCATTAGTCGTGGCGATTTTTACCAGGAGACCTTTTTTACGTAAAAAGCGTCGTAAATGTATATTTTTTTACTCAGTAGTTTTATACAGGTACGGACGAAAAGTTATTACTCTTCAAACAAGTTAAAAAATATGTAGGTGGCGCCCTCTACTAGTAGGAGTCATATTGACATCAAAATCAAATTTCTCATGTCAAAAAACTCCCAGACACCAATTTTAATTCAAATATTGACGTTACTGCAGAAATTATTTGGAAAAAATCGAAATAAAAATGAAACTTCTACACCCTGTCTGTATCTCCGAAACTAAGCATTTTTGGACATACATCTATACGGACATTTTTACTTATTTTTATCTGCAGAATATGCCGCCGAAGTTTCCGGAATACAGTTCGGACCACCCTGTATATTATATTTTTTAATATTAGTAGTTCTAATGTTTGATAAGTCTTTATGAAGCTTCATATAAATCACAAAACAATCATTGATAAGATACACAGCAGTAGACACAGCAAAACTCTTTCTATGCCTATTGTGACACCGTTTTTATTTTATTCCCACGGTACATTACCAGATTATTATCAGTATCTCTTTTATTATTATATTACTGATTTCAAGTTGTTCTGTGGAGTCCTATTATATACAAAGTGTCTCAATATTCTATGGACATAGCACTACTACCTATTTTTGGAATAAAAATAAATTCATTGGAAACAATTCATCTCTATACAAAAGTGCTTTTTACTCTTCCCGTATTTTTTCTTGATTTTTTTTGTGAAAGTCAAATATTAGAGTGTTTAACAAAATATAGGCATCCCAAATCACTTTCAAATCGGAATAACGGTTCTCAAAATAGCTTAAAAAATGTGTATATTTTTTAAAGTTTGATATGCCCTCTAATGGACAAACGAAGCACTTTTGTCTATAGGTAAATTGTGTCAAATCAACTTATTTTAGTTCCAAAAATAAATAGTAGCTCTATGTCTACGAAACATTGGGACACCCTGTATAGATTCTTTTAAATTAAGAACTGACACTGAATTAATCCACAAATTAAATATTTTGGTAAAATATAATCACCTAATGAAAAAATAGTCTAAACGTTTTATCTGAAAATACTTCAACATAATAAAATTAGAGCAAACCAGTTAGAGGGAGAAAAAATAGTTATATTTAACAGGTAATGATTCTTGTAAATATAATTTCTAGTTGGACCGGAAGTCCGCTCAATAAATATTAGTTATATACAAGTGGTGTTAGATATACGCTTTTACGAAAATAACGGTAAATGTGGGTTTACACGCATCCGTAACGCGTCATCCGTCACGGTTCGTATGCAATTTTATTGGATTACTTAAAAAAATGACAGATCATACTTGAACATGGTTGGAGTGACGGAACGAGGCGAGACGGGTGCGTATGAATTCACCTTAATAGTTAAAATAGTTAACCGATAAGCAACATACTGAATCTTAGAATTTAAAGGCTAAAATCAGCTTCGAGTCGCGTGACGACGCACTTTCCCTTCAGAATAGTACAGATTAGGCCTCCTTTACACTATAGTGTGTTCAACCGTTGTTCGACGCTACGTCATATATTGTCGAACTCTTTCTTTCGTGTGAAAACGGGATGAGATAGATTTTGAAAGCTATTACGTTATTTCATAGATTTCCGCTCATTATATGTAGTAAATGTTATTTGATTTGTGATGTTATCATCCTTATATTACAGTTGAGGGTTGGAACCTTTGGTGTTACACAGCAAAATAAAAACACTAAATCACCACAATACACCAAAACACTTTTACTTTTACACTGGACGCGCGTTTCGCTAACCATGTTAGCATCATCAGCAGATGATTATAAACTGGTAATAAACAGCTTATAATCATCTGCTGATGATGCTAACATGGTTAGCGAAACGCGCGTCCAGTGTAAAAGTAAAAGTGTTTTGGTGTATTGTGGTGATTTAGTGTTTTTATTTTGTTATCATCCTGTCGACGGATATCCATCAGTGTCAAAATTAAAAATCGACTATGTGGTAAAACAAAATTAGGACTATATACTACTAGTACCGCATTTACACAATGAGTGGAAAGTGAAGCCAAAGAAAAGAAATAGGAATATCAACCTTGCATAAGTCTATCCTTTTCGTGTGTCGGTATTTGAGTAACGCGATTTTGGAGCGGTATTTTTTTGTAACGTCGTGTCGCGCTTCACAACGAATCAGGAACCTGTTACTGAAGAACGACGATCATAATAACGACAAAATTATAAATTATTTATAATTTGCAAATAAATTATTTATAATCGCACTTGAAGTTAGCTTGAAGCGTATAACCGCATAGCGACGTGTTTAGCTCCAGCCGTCGCGATTTCGTCGGTCGCCAACAGTATCTGGAACTGGTATGTCCGTAGCGCCGCGCGATCTCGATCGGGACGTGTTCGCTCCAGCCGTCGCGCTCCTAGAGTTGTAGTTCCCTGTCGCGAACAGAAGTAACTGCTGTAACTGGGCAGCGACGCTCGACCTCGGCAGCGACCTACTTCGCTCCAGCCGTCGCGCTCCTAGAGTTTTAGTTCCCTGTCGCGAACAGAAGTAACTGCTGTAACTGATTATCGACGCTCGACCTCAGCGGTCACATACTTCGTTCCAGCAGTCGCTGGAGCGCTTCTAGGGTTTCGGTTTTGCCTGTCGCGATTTGGTCGGTTACTATTGGCCATGGTGCTCCCGTCGCTACGTTACTTTCGAAATAGCGATTTTTGGTATGTACTAGGCATGGTATGAAATAGTGTTGTTTGAAAGATGAAACGCAAAAGCAAATAAAATAAAATAAAAATATTTTATTTGCTTTTATACATTTATATAAGTTTTATTGTTTATATCTATTTTTAAGGTTAGGTTAGACAAATAAACACTTTTTTTTGACAGTGGTTTGGACTTCTTCATTTTAACATTAAATATATTATATTGCAATACACATAAATATGAGCCGTTCATTTTATTTAAACGAAAATTGATAAAGAAAAAAAATAACAAGGAATGTCATTGATTTTCTAAAATTGAGATAGATTGGCTATACACAATTATAAACTCGAAATTTGGAAAATGAGTGGCGGATAAAAGTTACAGTAATCTACAAATATAGATAAGTTAGATATATTTTCAGCGAGGACCGCAACAATTGGAAGTCGGAACCTCGGTTACAAAATCGCGGTATTTTTCTGGAACGGTCGGTTTTATTGTAACGCGACTCACGTGGAACCGGTATTCCCATCACTAGTTAGTATGACATAAATCAACTAATCGCCAAGCATTTCTCACGCTTGCGTAGTTCAAAGCTGTTGAACGAAAAGGACCGACATATGTGGATTTTCTATAGCTCCATCTCAAAAATCTGGCTTCTATTTCTGTCCCTTACTAGCAATATAGTCTTATAATATATTTGCCAAATTCAAATACATTGAAATTGAATGAAAATAAATAAAGGTCACGCATACCTACTTGAAATTAATGAAATCTGCTGAACACGCTTAGATAATTAACTATGACGTAACGTTGATCAATAGTTGAACAGACTATATTTTTTTAAATCTATCATATATTTTTTGCTTATCTACAGAGCGACCCAGTGTTACAAAAAAAGCTTCATATCATTTTCTTTCTAATATTCTCTATAAAATATGCAAACAATAATAACGCGCGTACAGCTTAAAACTATTTTCAAAGATACTGTTTTTGGTTGATATTTTTTGAGTTTTATATATATAATAGCTTCCGTATATAACGTTTAACGCCTTGAAAGTAGCAAGGTACAGCTTGCCATGCTAGAGCTGTTCGGTATACAATGAAGGTAATGTGGCTAGCACTCTACGCTTCAACCGCGCATTATTACCTCAGGATTGTGAATCCCAAGTACTCATTTAAGGCCGAGTCGACCTAGGTACCCAAACTCTTTCTATGCCTATTGTGACACCGTTTTTATTTTATTCCACGGTACATTACCAGATTATTATCAGTATCTCTTTTATTATTATATTACTGATTTCAAGTTGTTCTGTGGAGTCCTATTATATACAAAGTGTCTCAATATTCGGCTGATGAAATGCCGGTTGTGGGATTCGAACCCACAACCTTGAGATTGTATCACTTTATTTTTAGTATACTTATTCATAATAAAATGTGCACAGTTGCCAATTATTTCCGTATGGTGCTTAACAGACGAAAGAAATAAGAAACCTAATTGGAGCTTTCCTACAACACTGAACCACCCTGTATACAAAAAAACTAAATAAAAAGTTAACAATAACGTAAATTCGGCCTAGTAATATTAATTCAAGCATTTTTTACTCAACAAACAATCGAAAGAAAAACAAAACATACTTTTCCTATAATCTTATATTAAATTTAAAAATATGCGCGGACATTTTCAAGATGCAATAAATAAAAATCGTTTTTTTTATTACACACTTATCATGATTCTTACTATTCCAAAGAAGATATATTAACAAAGACTGATTTGGCCATCTATTTAACAAATTGATTTAAACTTCTGTTAGGGTATATATATTTTTTGGGTTGGCAACATCGGTTAAAGCCACGATTCCTTCATTTTAATGTCACTGCGGTAAGTAAATGAAAGGTTCCCTTATTTTGTTGTCAGTCTAATATCAGTTGTATATCTTGATAGCCTTCTCTAGGTAGTTGAACCTGGTCCTTTTGGGGGCTTTGTTCACGTGATCCAGGCCTAGCCAAGGTCTACCGCTCGTCGTCACTGAAAGAGGATTAATGTTAAAAACAGTTTAAATAAAAAATAATTTAAACTTCGTATAATAAGTAAAAAAGTTCATATAAATATATGTCCTAAAATGTTTCGCTTCGGAGATACAGGGTGTAGAAGTTTCATGTAATTTTTATGTATGATGTAGTGGTGGTAAAAAACTGTTAAAGTAAACGCCACGAATGTTTGGGAGTGATTCATCGCTTGATGAAGTTAGAATCGACACGCCCGCTATCATTTTTACATTAAAAACGTAATTTTTTACCGCAGACGTAGTTTTTTAAAGGCCCGGTTTAATCATCTGCCTGCGCTCCTCCTACTTATTCTAAAATGTTAGCGTGATTGACAAAGACGATACTATATCGCGTTTCTTTGATTGATTCGTTTTTGTGCGTCAGTCCATTGATGTGCTTGCAGTGCGACCAATGGGGCATTCCAGTTTATATTTATAACCAAATATATGTTTTGACAGTTAAAACAACAAATTAAGCTACATTCTAAATCAATTCGCTGGCCGAGTCGTACTTTGGCACGCAAGCTTATCTTATGTACTTCAGTGTACTCATTCACAACAAAATTCGACGCCAGAGTGCAAGTTGAAGTTGGATTGAAAGCTTGCAAGCTGCTTTCAACTTCAGCACGGAATTTTGGTTTGACAATTATGACAAATTTGACATTTAAATTTTAATAATTATTTTGTTTGTGTCGTTGTTACAAGCCATTTTCTTGTGAAAAGTAAATAATTATTAAAAGAAAAATGAGTGAAGGACGCTATTCTTATTTTATTAGGACTTGTGGCTTTGCTGTTAAAAAAAACGGCAATTATTGTTGCAGCTCAATAATTAGCTTGACCGAAAACCAAGGGGTTTACCAAAACCCAAAAAATGAGGCGTCCGACCCATATTAATGGCGAGAAAAAGTTTTGGGTGCTTGAGACACATTTTAGAAAAAAATCATCAATAGGCGTTTACGAAAATTGCACCGGTAGGTACCGGGTAACTTTTTTACGTTCGAAACTAATAACGGTATTTTTGTTCCTTGTTCTAATTTTATCACACATTTACCGGTGCATTCGGTTTATAGATTATGGATCGGGGTAAGGTCTCGGTAAATGACCGTTATGAGAGAAAACCGAACCTATAAGAGTTTAAAACGCGTTTAAAAAATCAGAGATCAGAGACCTATTAATTGAAAATCGCCATGGACATGGATGTATTTGAAATTGAGCAGGGGAAATGCTCTGTATGTGGTCTTGAGGGAGATTTGACTGAAATTCAAAACCATTTTGAAGAACATATCAGCAGAGATTTAACTGGAGAATTGGATGAAGAATCTACTTCATTCATCTTTTCATCTATAAGATGGCTTAGAGGTTGTGGCACAAAGTCTTGTTATTATTATATTAATTGTATGTTATTATTATATTAATTAGTATAATAAATTTAATCTTAAGATATTAACCAGTTCGTTTTAAAAATATTCTACCAGATTCATATTTGACATAAAACATATGTTTACCGCTGGGTAACGGTAAATACCGAAGGTATAATTTTCGTAAACGCCTAATAAATGACGTTTTTGTTTCCATTTTTCTAAACATAAAAACTTGGAAAACTTAATTAACAACTGTCCCGGATTTTGACTCTTCCAAAATCAAAACCAACAACTAACCTAAAAAATGTCAGGAGAAAGTTTAAACACGCATGCGCAAAGTTCGAATTGAAATTTGTTGTGAATGGTTAATTTCGTGACGACTTTAACGTCGAAGTGCCACTCGGCCAGCGAATTGATTTCGAATGTAGCTTTACAACAGATTATACATTGATTATTATATGACTTGAAACACCATGGCACTGGAATTAAGTTTTATGTGACCTTGAACAGATTAGTTCACATGGTAGCGACCGATGAATCACGCCCAAACATTCGTGGCGTTTACTATAGTTTTTAAATAACAGTTGAAAATGTTACTGTTATTTATATATAACAGCTTAAAATAACAGGTTTCTGTAATTTTTTGACTTTAATATTAAACATCTAAAATAGCCTACGCATTGTTCAATTATTGTATATACTAATATATAAAATCCTTAAGTGACTCACTGATTAATCACGATCCTGCTCAAATCACTCAACGTAAGAAGCTCAATTTTGGCATACAGGTTGATTCTAGGGTGTAGAGGTTTGATAAGAAGGGATTTTTCGAAATTCCAGTTCCAAAGGGGTGAAACCCACCCCAAATATTACAATATTACAAGTTTCCGAAAAAACGCTTAAACACGTATATTTTATTTTTTTTAAATATTTTAAGGTTTTTTAAAAAAGTATACAGGGTATTTCAAAAAATCTGGTCATTGATTAATCACGATCTTGCTTAAAGCGTTTGACGTAAAAAGCTGATATTTGGAAAACGGATTGACTTTAGGGTGTAGAGGTTCGGTAAGAAGGGATTTTTCGAAACTCGAATTCTAAGGGGTTAAAACCACCCCTCAAATATTAGAATATTTTTTATTAAAAAACCGGTGAGTTTTTCGGAAAAACTTTTAAACACGTATATTTTATTTTGTTGTTTTACATATTTTAAGATTTTTTTAAAAATTTATACAGGGTGTTTCATAAAATATGACCATTGAGTAATCACGATTCTGCTTAAACTGCTTGCGGTTTAAAGCTGATTTTTGGCAAACGGACTGACTGTGGGGTGTAGAGGTTCGATAAGGAGGGGTTTCTCGAATCTCAAATTCCAAGAGGGGGAAAACGCCCCTCAAATATTACAATATTTGTTATTTAAAAAACGGTTAGTCTTTCGGAAAAACGCTTGGACACGTATAATTTATTTTGTTTTTTTACATATTTTGAAATTTTTTAAAAAATCATACTTGTGTTCCAAAAAGTTGGGTAATTGATTAACCACGATTCTGCTTAAATTCGCGTAATAGCTTGGCTATTTTACAGTCAGAAAATGCAACAAAAAACGTGGTTTATAAAGAAGTAGGCTAAAGTAGCGAAGTAGGCTAAGGCTATTCAAGTACTTTTTTATATCTTTTGTTATTGCAGGACTTTTTTCAAATCTACCCCTAAGGAGGTAAAATGGGGTGAAAATGATTTTTATCTTTCATATTCAGTAACTGCCAAAATATAATAATATCGCCATATTATTTTTTCTCATGCTGACATAAATGTGAGAAAATTTTATCCAGCTCCAGTTTGTATGTTAATGGAAATTCTTGCTTTGCTTTATTATCACCATTACAAATGATTAATACGACGCAAACGAAGTCGCGGGTACACGCTAGTAAAATCAAAATAAATCTTTATATCTATTTCTTAATAAAAAATAATGTACTTAAAATATAAAATTTATAAACAAATCAAACTCTAGCCTTGAACTCTATTCAAAACTTTTAGAATATGATTATTATATTTTTAATATTTAAGAAAATAATTGTTACTAATATTCAGAAAAATCAATATTACTAATATTAAAAAAAAAATAATTAACTTAGACAGTCTAAAAACCCTGATATTTTAGGTTTTTTTTGGTTACTTGTTTTGATAATAATTAGAATAGACTAAGATAATAATAACTAATAGATAGTTATTGTAATCGCAAAACATTTTCCTATGCACGTCATCAATCATATCGACATTGACATTAAAGTCTATAAACCTGAAATTTTGCCAAAAATGTTTAAATTTGTTGTACAATTTAAGATACCGAGCAGCTTTTCATTTTACTTTATAGAGCAAATGATTGTAACAGATTTTTATTTAGATTAAAGCTGCAAAAATTAGTTTAAACCGAATTTTATTATCGCTATGTTGGTCACATTGCGCCGTCTTCAGCAAGGTTGTCGTTTATTATTTGACAATTATCCTAATGTCAGTCATTATTTTGTATAATATCGTGTTGTTGAATCTTTGTAATTCTCGTTTTTTGCCTATTTTCATAGTATTTTTTTTAAAAATTGCAGTTTTAAGCATAAACAGTTCTTTTAAGAACTAAATTTTCGAGTTTTTGTATTTCATTTCTTGAAATAGTGTGTTGGAAAATAAGCTGAAGCATAGGATCTTGTAGCTTCCCTGTTTTTTAAAACTATTTTGTACGAGAACATGACAATAAAGGTCCTTTATTACCCTTGACTGCAGTCAGAAAAGTAAGTTTGATTGATAAGCACGTTATACCACTTTCAAAGTTAGTTTTTATTAAATTCTGTGATTATTAGTTTGTGCATTAATAGCACCTTCTTACTTGTTATTATCACTTATGACGTTGTAAGATGTACAACAATAAATAAATAACCCATAATAACGCTGATAATAATCTTCATAATGGATTAGTTGTTGCCGATATGTAATAAGTAAAATAAGTTATAGAACAAATAAAGCAATTAATCACTAAAATATTAGTTAAAAATAATTAAATTAAAAATAAAACGTTGTTTGTCAATTTTAAATTAAGATCTCATAAATCCATCACAATTGGGCAGCGCTGTCGCCATCGCCTGTCACTCAAAGTTGATCACGTGCATCTGAAATTGTTTTGCGATTACCATAGTTTGTATACTCACTTTGTGTAGGAGGTTGCCTGAAATCGTTTAAATTAACTACGTATTCGTCTTCTGTAATGACCTGAGCTCGGCCCATCGTTACTATTGCAAATTTGAACTTCTCCCACTCCTTCTCCGGCACAGCCAATTTCTTCTGTATCCTCTCTAAAATTTTGTTTTCGTGTACTTGGTCAATCGATAAAATATCGCTTTCACTCAGTGGAACCTACCTTTAACTTTACTGAAAGGTTCGCCTTGCTTAATTTTAATAAGGAAAGGAACACCGAAAGTGGAAAATGCTTCTTTGTGGAAATGGGCGCACGATATAAGCATTTCGTCGTCTGCTAAGATCAGCTCATCTCTGAAAATAACAATTTTTTCATTCATCTATCATATCATCATCGTTATTATTTTTAACACTAATTTCATAAACGTCAAAAATTCATTAGAACATTGTATCTCAGAAATATAAAAACAAATTAATAAATACAGATCTGGTCATCTTAAATCAGTGGTCTAGAAGTTAACGTGTATGATAATGTGGAGATTGATAGAAGTCATGTAGTTCGATTACACAACCTTCTCCCTAATATAGAAATTTAGATCCACTTATATACTTAGGATCTTTAATAACAAATAATGGGGGCTGTGAAGCAGAGATAAGAAGGCGTATAGCAATGGCACGGACGGCTATGATGAGCCTAAGAAAAATATGGGCAGATAGGAATATAACTGAAAACACCAAAAAGACCCTTGTTCGATCTTTGGTGTTCTCCATATTCCTATACGGGCCTGAGTCATGGACCGTCAAGAGCGCTGATAGATACCGTATAGATGCATTTGAGATGTGGTGCTGGAGGAGAATGCTCCGTATCCCATGAACAGCTCGAAGAACGAACCAGTCAATTCTCAATGAACTCGGTATCACAGATGGATTATCCACCATCTGCCGTAGGCGCATCCTGCAATACTTCGGTCATATCACTAGCAGAAGTGAAGAGAACCTTGAAAAACGCATAGCACAAGGCAAAGTAGAAGGCCGAAGACCCAGAGGACGATCACCATCAAGATGACTTGACCAAATAGCAAATATTACAGGTCATCCATTTCAATCAAATCTCCGAAAGGCGGAAGATGGAAGACCAAAATCACCAGCTGCACATAGCCATAATGTCACGATTCTTCAGACATGAAGAGACGACGAAGAAGAAGAAGAATGTAAAGATACCCTAATGTAAGGAGAGATAACAAGAAGGTTTTTACATTTCTTCTATGCGTTATTGTCAGATTTTTCAACTGCAATTCTTTGCCTATTTGACCGACTCTCTAGCTCCAGTAGTTTCCAAGATGCCCATAGAGAACATCGTAGAAAACTCACCCTGTATAGATTTTATCTTTGTTTTTTTTTAACATTCCAATTCTGTATATTGTTAATTAGAAATAAATGATTTGCCATTATCCATCAGCTTAAAATTCATATTGAGCTTGGTGTCTAATTGTAGGAAACTAGTAGTAGTAGCAGTAGTAGTAAACTGCAGTATATCCACGAGGTATAGGCTTAGTGTATTTCTGTTGACTTCAAAAAATTCCGACCGCAGCGCTATATACGGCAGAAATCAGAATTTCACTATGTATTTCACGCCGCGCCGTTCCGGTTACAGTTCATGCATTAAAATAATATTGAAATCGTGGCTTTGTCATAATATATAAGTATTTTAGCTTTTTTGCTAGTGCAGTTATTAAAACTATAAAATACTCAGGTACGAGGTTTGTGTGATGTAACGCTGTTTCGGAGTTTCGGGTAGTAAAAATTAAGTGAAAAAGAACTCAAACTGGGGGTCGCGTTGTGTTCTAACAATTTCAAATGTTAATAAAATTGCCGAAAAATTGTTAACGCGTAAAGGAGGGCGCAATTACGTGGTTGTTGGGTGCATACATACATACTGCCATTACTCGCTGACGAGTACTCGACACGCATCAAATGGTGGTCACGCAAGGCGTTTTCTTTCATGAGCTTTTCTGTGACTGAAAAGCCCGATACGTGATGTTATTTGCCTACCGCACTCCGGACATTCATAAATCTCATTGCTTTGTTGCCTCTTTACTTTTTGGTTGTCGCTGTTAACTGAGTTTACAATTCTTCTCCATTGAGTTCTATTGTGAACTGCTTCTTCCCAATGATTCTGCATGTTAATCCCCTTTTAAGTTTTCGTGGAAAATGTCCTTGTACCTTTTGAGTTGTCCACCCGGCCTCCTCTTACCGTCCACAAACAAGCTCACCGTAAGCAGAGATTTTAGTATGCGGTTTTCTTGCATTCTGCATACGTGACCAGTCCATCTTAAACGGGATTTTGTAACAATGACTTCAATACTCTCGCAGTTAGCTTTGTCAAGGACCGATACGTTTGAGACATGATAGAACCACAGGATTCTTAAGAGTTGTCTAAGGTGTCTTTGTTGCAACTTGTTTAATGCGTTCATGTGTCGGCGGTGCGGCACCCAGGTTTCGCTCCCATATAACATGGTGGGGATTATAATTGCTCGGTACACTGCCAGTTTCGTTTTTGTACTCAAGTCATGATTGTAGAAAACCCTGTCTTTTAATTTCCAGAATGCTCTCAATGAGTCAATATTGGCCATTTTCGAAATCAAACTGCCAAGGTAATTGAATTCCGCCACATATTCCAATAGTTCTGCTCCGATTTTTATAGCCTTGTTGTGATCTTCCCGGGGAGTGCACATGATTTTAGTTTTGTCGATGTTTAGCTTAAGGCCCAAAGCCTCGTATGCCCAGGTATATGTGTTCAACTTTCTTGTAATTGTTGTAAGGTGTTTGCAACTAGAGCGCAGTCATCAGCGTATTGAAGTTCTGTGATGAATTTTGTACGTGTTTTTGCCCTCAGTCTTTTATGTTGAACAGACGGCCGTCATATCTGTATCTAATGCCCAATCCTCTCTCCTGCAGTTTGCTGTCCACTATAATGGAGAGCGCTGCCATGAATATGCTGAATAGGAGAGGCGCTAAAACACATCCCTGCCTAACTGTGTCTGTTGGTTGCAATAACATTCAGTAACTCAACTTTCATGGATATTCAACTCTCCCGATCAACATTTTATAGCTTCGCAGCTTCTTACACCGATTTCATCAAAAGCAAAAATGGATTCAAGCAGTTCGACGAAACAACAGTTTGTGAGTAAACAAAGTGCCCATTACATAATCAAAAAATTAAACAGACATATATAATAGGATAAAATATAATTTACAATATTAATGGTATACTGTTTTTTTTTTAAATCAACTAGTGCTTAATTTTTTTATGAATATCTTCTAAAATTATAATTATGTACCGTCAAAAAATCTCGTTATTGCCGAAATAGCCCAAGTTATGTCCCCACTAGCAAAACCGGTAAGTAAAACTATGCTCGCTACCGTAATTAAACTCATCTAAAAAGTTTTATTAGCTTCAATAATAAATTATAATGCAAGTTAGAACTTCTGAAGATATCAAAATATTTTTTTTTATTTTTTTTAGAATTTCCACAAATTAATTATACTTCCTAACATTTTCAGAATAATTATATTGTATAAACTTTTTTTCGTATACTTGCTATTTAAACCTGTGTATTTGTATATACTGATTGTTTACTATATTATCCGATAGTGGCAGCACCGGCGGAGAATGCACCAAGCCTATAGTTTTGACAGTTCTCCTGACTTTGCTTTTCAGGTTGAGCTAAGCTAAAGGATGCACGATGAAAATACACGATGCCAAATATCAAAAGGTAAAAAACTCTTGTTACTTTACTATACCAATGAAATCAAAAAATGAGAAGAAATATATTAAATCAAGCTATTAGTGAGAATAACTAAATATAAAGACAACACATCTACAAATTAAATGCTCGTCATTGTAACACAATTATTAAAGTTTTAAGACATTCAGTATTAGCTCTATCTGAAGGTATTTTTTATTAAATTATGAATTGTGAAAGACATTTGACTATAACACATACAAATTAGGGTAAGGTCAATTCCAATAAGGTATTTCAAGATTTTATAATTTCCCTTTATTTCAACTTAAATTACATTATACGAAATATAGCAAAACATAAATTTTATAATTAATAACACAATACAAATTACATTTATTTGTAAAACTATTTATTCTTTAAATTAATGCCTAGCCATCTTCGTTTTGTCTCGTACAAAATCTTATTAATTTCATATTGTGCTTCATTTAAAAGTTCTTCATCCCTAATCCCTTTTAACTGACTCGCTACATAGTCACCAAATATTTGCAAATCTGGTTTTGGTGTTGGTTCAGTTGAAGAAGCATCGTGTACTTGTACTGTGACTCCAGTAGAGTCGCAGTTTGCTTCTGTATGTTGTGTTGTAAAAGGAGTTTCCTTAGTAACGCAAGTCACACTTGGATTTCGTGATTCTTTCTGCTTCTTCTGCGGTGATTCTTCGAGGTTTTGACTGGAAATTGTACCCTATTAATTAAAAATACCTATGCGCGAGTTCGAAAAATGAAGATTTTTCATTCTCAAACTTGAAATAAATTCAATAAATCAAAAATTCCTCGGAAATATACTGTGTGACATAGAAATTGCAACACCCAGTAAATAAAAACATGTTTTATTAATATTTTGGGAAGAAGTTGGGATAAATATGAGTAATAATCGATTTTATCGACAATTCAAAAAAATTTATTGAAAGGAATTCTTAACAATTCAATAGTGAGTCGCATGTCCATGCAAGTTATGATATTCTGTAACTCTTTGTGGCATGCTGCGTATTAGATGATCGATATCTTCTTCTGGTATGTCCTCCCAGGTTAATGTTATCTCTAAATAACCCTAATGTGCGGGTCACGGCTGAAGGGTTGCATTAGCTTGTCAGAGAAAGTTTCTAGTAACTGCTGCGGTATGTGATCTGGCATTATCTTCCTGGAAATTTGGATCTTGCAGTAACACGTTATTGATGTAAGATTGAGCGTTCATGTTTCTGTCAAAAAAAAACTGGAGGTGACCTGCTTCCAAAAAACTGTAATAGCACTACTAATCATAACGCTGTGGCCGGCCGTAGTCCAAGCAATAGTGTGTCGATCTGCGGTGCGAGAGGTACTGGGTTCGATCCCCAGCCAGTACGGTCGCTTTTTTATTTAAATCAAAATATTGATTTATCTAAATAGAGCGACCAGCGAGCCGCCACCTCAAGGAAGGCAATGGCAAACCACCTTGAGTACATATACTTATAAACTCTATACAGATTATTGCCTATCCCTCCAATGTGTTGGAGTTGAAGCCAAGTTAGAGACACCTAGATAACCGGTTCATGTATATTTCACGTAAGTTCGTCTGCTAGGCAGACACTGGCGCAATAGCGCAACTCCGAAAATCGATTAGCCCTTACTCTGAGGATTAGCCAATTATCGGTACGAAGTTGGACGAAGCCGTACGAACGAACAGCTGGTGCTAGCGTCTAGTCTCTTATTGGTCTAGTTATCCGATCGATAATTCAAAATCCAGGCTTGCGCATTAAGCTTGAGCAGGCCTATCTGAGCGACTTATGCAAATTCCTTCAGAAGATTTATATACCCATTTCACCGGCTCGGCTTCACAGAATGCAGTTTGGAGTCGATATAGTTACTTTGTACAGCCTCTCAAATAGTGCCGTTCGGATTCGGCGATAAACTGTAAGTCCCATGTACTTGTGAAACATTGATGACACACATCACAAGTATATGCGAGAGGTAGCCGACGCTCTGTATAGAATATGGCACTGTAAGAATCATAAGTCTCACAATCGATGAAAAATTGAAGTTGGTGCCTTTCTCCATGTCCGAGACGGACTCTTCTACGACCATCGTAAATCCACAAACAAAAGTGACTCGTCACTGAAAACAACCCGGCTCTACTCCTGATTAAAACGAGGCCGTTCTGATACCATGCTGTCTATGTTTGATGTTAATGGCACAACCAATCGCGGATGGTATGACTGTAGTCCATAAGCTCTAATTCTTCGATTAGTCGACCTCATGGATGCCTGCTGACCCGTAGCTACCCTCCACTCATGTTCGATTGCGCTGCTTGTGCTGAAGCGGTCACCAAAGGCACTAAGTCTTTCTTCGCGATCAGTGGTTCTTCTTAAAGTCCCAGTACTCCTACGCCGTGTTAGACGACAATGTACAGGCCACTTTGTCCAACATTGTATCATTGTAACATTCCGGCAAATACTGTGTACAATTTTGCGACCCATTTGTTATCAAATCCGTTTGTTACTAAAATGTTTTGTACTAAAACTGGTATTCGCGCCTAAAATTATAAATCGGAACACAACCAGCTTGAATGTTGAATATAGGCCAAACGAGCTTACTTGTAATTAATAAAATCGGAACACGGTCAATTACTAATTTACGTACTAGAAATTGCATAAACAATAGGTTTGTTCCAATCCGCCGCAGAACCGTCACCGAACGACCACGCTCGTGCGCAGTAATTCAAATGTGTTCCAAACGAGATTTGACGGTTATCGGACGATCCTATTGACTTGCGCATTAAAGCATATTGACAGGGATTATAGATTTTTAACAGTTGATTCTGGTCCGGCGTCCGGCTGATGTTTCTGTCTTGGTTAGGTTTGTTTTTTTACGAATTCGAATATGTATGCGTTATACTTTTGTGAGTTTGTGTGGAGTAAATCGTTCGGAAATTTTAATTGATTTTTTATTTATAAAATAATGTTCAAAGATTCTACCACTGCAATGAAATAACAGGAAACTACGCATAACAGGATCATAAAAGTGAGGATAGGTAAGTGAGTTAGTGAGTATACAGTTGAAACAACACTTATCAACAATTACTGGATTCTGATTCTCCATTTTAAGAATAATAATTATTATTATTGCAAATTACAAACAAAAATAATAGGGTTATGTTATGAAATTCTGAACAAAAACAAAAAACCGATCGATACACGCACGCTTGACACTATTGACAGTCCCGAAAACAATCCACAAAGCGTTCAAACGTTGATACTTTTTGCACCGTCACGAAACTATTTGAAGTACGCGCATGCTAACAAAGTGTAAGAAAACCCATTCGAGTACGATCTCAAAACGATCTCGAAATGTTGGTTGCAATAAACCTAATATAAACTAACCTTAGCGCAGCCTGCAACGGATATTAGATAAATAATGATAACGTAACGTTCAATGTTCCTCATAGGTTTTGCAGTTCAGTTGATTTCAAAAAATTCCGATCGCAGCGCTCTATGCGGCAGAAATCGGAAATTTTCGCTATGTATTTCATGCCCGCCGTCCCGGTTACAGTTCATGTTGATCGCATGAAAATAATATTGATATCGTGGCTTTATCAAAATATTTAAGTATTTTAGTTTTTTGCTAGTGCAGTTATTGAAACTATAAAATACTCAGGTACGACGTTTGTGTGATGTAACTTTCATTCGGGTAGTAAAAATTAAGTGAAAATGAACTCGAACTGGGCGTCGCGTTATGTTCTGACAATTTCAAATGTTAATAAAACTGCCGAAAAAATGTTAACGCGTACAGGAGAGCGCAATTAGGGGGTTGTAGAGGTGTAATAACATTCAATAACTCAACTATCCCGGATATTCAACTCTCCCGAAACAACATTTCAAATTCTAATAAATCTCAATAAGTTCGCTGTTAGACAATAAAGATTCTCTAAGTATTAAATCAGCCATTTCAGGGGGATAAAAAAACATCTTATTTGTTATATTAAGAAAAATATAACAATACTTGCTTACCGTGGAACTTCCTCGATCCGGTATACTTTCGTGTTTACGATGCCTAAAGATTCCAGTAACGTGTCTTCTTTCGGGCCCATAGATATTTTATTACAATTTACTTCTGTTAATCTACAAAATAACAATACAAACATTAATAAGTATTTTGTCTCTGAACCTCTTTTATTATTCATTTTTAAGAAATTAGTTAGACACGCTAAAGTAACAAGAAGTATCAAAAATTCAAGTTTTTACCAAAATTTCGTATTTGAAGGCCCATTTTCTTGGATTATTATAAAGAATGCATTCTTCTCAAAAGTTAATAATAAAAAATTGGCGCCGGGAGGCACGTATAGCCGCCCATACTAAAATATGTTAATAAAAAGTTGGTAGGCAGTTCTTTTAGTTTCAAAGTAAAGGAATTTTTCTAATTTTTTTATTTCAAAAACTGCGACTTTGACTGATTTTGATGTTATTACAAATTTTGTTGCAAATATTATTCCTAATCTTAAATTGAAAACCGCGTTTCGCTAGCTACTGTAATTTTGGAGTTACAATTTTTTTAAATTTATAACCCCCTCCCATACCCCCTTACCAACCCCCCACCCCCACCAAAAACTAAAGGCCAGATTCACAGGTGCCACAGCATTTTTGTGCCAAATTTGGTTAAAATCGGTTTAGCGGTTTTTGAGTTATCGTGTTACAGACGGACAGACAGACAGACACCATGAAAATATTTTGTATTTAGGTCATTTATGGCCCAAATAACTCATTTTGAGTGAAATTAAAAAACTTTTTTTTGCCGATCTTGATAGCCTACCATACCTATTGGTATGGTCGACTACAAATACGGAGGGTGCCATTTAAAAATCAAAAGTTGTAGTCATTTCCAAAGGGCGACCCTCAAAATGTGAACCATAAATAACTACTTTCCTTTATAAATAAAAACTTACCTTAATTTTCCAGTACTACCTTCACTGAACTCGATCTGTTTCTTGGCCTCGTCTAACAAATCTGCAACCGTTCCGTTTTTATTCGGGTAAAGTATTAGATCCTTTTCGTCCTTCATATTGGGGTGGACGTACACGCACTTAAATTGTTTCTTGTTCTCTAATTCGTTAACCCTAATGCTGAGCTGCTGATAGAAAATCTTTTTCGGTACCTTTGGTTTACTATAGATCAGCAAATCCTTCAGGGTGCCTTCGAATGTACACCTTAGTGGATGTCCAGGACTATCTTTATAACTAAAATTATATTTTAAGTTATTACTTTTAAATTAACGATCACCCAATGGTCTATATAAAAAAAATATAATCTCAAAAGAAACTATTGGCGTTTGATGTTCTATAAGCTTGGTGCATTTCCAGTTGATTTCAAAAAATTCCGACCTCAGCGCTATATATGGCAGAAATCAGAAATTTCAGAAATATTATATATATATATATATATATATATATATATATATATATATATATATATATATATATATATATATATATATATATATATATATATAGAAAATCTGGGATTTAGGGATTTAGTGGGGTTGCAGTCGGTACTGCAACCGACTGCAACCCCTCTAAATCCCAGATTTTCTTTCTCACTAGTCAGTCGAGACTACTTTCTGCTTATATATATATATATATATATATATATATATATATATATATATATATATATATATATATATATATATATGTATATGTATATGATATATGTCGACATTAATGTGTTAATATTTAGGTTAGGATATGTTTTTGGTTGTTTTGTTTTGTGTTATTCTCGAGATTAACCGGACTTTACCGTGGCTTTGTTATAATATTTAAATATTTCATTTTTTACTAGTGCAACTATTGAAACTATAAAACACTCAAGGTACGAGGTTTGTGCGATGTAACGCTGTTTCGGGCAGTAAAAAATAAGTGAAAAAGAACCCGAACTAGGCGTCGTGTTGTGTTTGGTTTGGTTTGGTGACAATTTCAAATGTTAATAGAATTGCCGAAAAAATGTTAACGCGTTAAGGAGGGCGTAATTAGGGCGTTGTTGGGTGGAATAACATTCAATAACTCAACTTTCCCCGATAGTTAACTCTCCCGAAACAACATTTTATAGCTTCACAGCTTTTCACATCGATTTGATCAAAAGCAAAAATCGATTCAAGCAGTTCGACGAAACAAGTGAGTAAACAAAGTGCTCATTACTCATTACATAATCAAAAAATTAAATAGGCATACCGTGCTGGCAACTGTTACTTTTAGATCTTATTAAGTCGGAGTGAGAGAAATACGACGGTGCGCTGTTGCGGCGTTGCCGGTACGCCTTTCCCTATCAAACGAAGTAAAATCACGATTGCAAACCGCTTATTTTTAAACGATTTTTTTTTCGAAAAGATAACTAAATAAAATCATTAGATATGTTTCTGAGCATCTGAAATGGAATTATAAGGATATCGTTAGGGTGTCCATTTTTTTATAACGATAAACGTCAGTAATCGCGATAATTTCGAAAAACCTTCAATCAATTATTTTTAATAGATTTCGAGATATCGATTTTTGAATTCAGAGTTCTAATAGCGCGACCACTGTCGAACACCAACTCAATTCCACTTATTTTTACCAAAAATGCAAGTGTTTCTAACTTGCACTTAAAAATTTTCAAGCTGCAGGGAAAATTACGACTCGTTAATAAATAAACAAATAAAGTATCAAGAGACGTAATTAAATCTAAGTAAAGCTGAACGCATGACGTACACATTTCCCTAAAACTTTAAGTACCGACAGAGATACTGATTGGGTCGAACGGTGGACTGCGACAAATCTGCTATATCCCCTTCTACGTCTCTTAGCAATGTGCACAGTTTCTCGGTTTGTTTCATACGTTTGGCAACGTGTTTACTGTTCTCTCTTGTTGAGTACATTATAAACGCATTGTACTCTTCTTACATACGGAAATCTCGACTCAAGCCTTTAGTATACTATGAGAGGATAACATATAATTTGCAATATTAATGGTATACTTTTTTAATCAACTAGCGCTTGAATGTTTTATGAACATATTCTAAAATTATAATGATGTACCTTTAAAAAAATCGTTATAGCCGAAATAGCCCCAGTTATGACCCCATCAAGCAAAACCGGCGCGTAAAACTATGCTCGCTACCCTGGTTGAACTCATCTAAAAAGTTTTTTTTTTGCTGTAATAATAAATTATAATACAAGTTAGATCTTCTGAAGATATCAAAATATTAACTTTTTTATTTTTATTTTTGGAATTTTCACAAATTATACTTCCTAACACTGTTAGAATAATTATTTAATAAATTTTTCGTATACCCGCTATTTAATCTGTGTATTTGTATATAAATTGTATATGCCGATTGTTTACGATATTCTCCGATGGTGGCAGCACCGTCGGAGAATGCACCAAGCCTATAGACATTTTTTAAATTAAAAATACTCTACTTACCTTTGAGATTTGAAAAATTGCAACAAATAAGGATCAGTGCCTACCCTCTGTGCAACAGCCCTGGCAAACTGATCATACGTCATTCTTTGTGACAACTCCATAGTAAATCCTAGAATAAACAATCACGTATACCAAAATTATGCAAAAGCAAAGCAGTTAGCTATACCTTGATCATTGGGTATTGTTTTGTCGACAAAAGTAACTTCTACTCTATAAAACAGATCTTTGTAATAATCCATACACGTGGGCAAATCTGAATTTACATCTCCTTCGTCTTTTTCAAATATAATTATATCGCCGTCCATTAATTCTTCTAATATCTTAAATATTTATTTATATTCATATACATTGACATATTTGTAATTTGCTAAACGTAAAGTAGAATCTTTGAATAAAAAGATTAAGAAAGGAGCATATAAAAAATCTTAGATCGACTAATTTTATCCAAAACGTGTAAAAATATGATGTAGGGTAGACGGGTAGAATCAATAATTTGTTGTTTTATTTTATGTTGTCGATAAATGTTGGTAGTTATTAAAATTGTTACAAAAATATATAATTCTAATAAAAATAGATAAGTTATAATAATTATTTATTAACACAAACATCCGATACGCTACCGAAGCAGGTAAGTCAAATTGACGTATCTAAATTCTTTGACCAGTAATCTTTAACAAGTAGTAAATAAAAGCAAAAATGCAAGAAAAAATATATAATTAGTTAATTTTAGGCGAATTTCATAAATGATCGGTTTACTACACTTATATATATTATATAGTCACTTATTAGCAAAAAATTATTCCATTATTTCCCTCGATTTTTAACCGAGATCTACCGCACGCTACACAACCAACTATTTTACAGTCTTTTTAGATAAATCGCAATGGTGTCACTGTTAATTTAAGTTCTTCCATAATTTCCTTCTAGATTTACTACCTTTAAACAACTATCAGTAATAGAATAAATAATAACATAAAATAAGCTCAATAAAGGCTGACAAATCCACAAAATTTCAAATCAAACTCAAATGTGTCAAATAAATCGTCAAACAGAACTGTCAAGGATCCCCACCCTAGGGCCCTCTCTCCGTCTACCATGCATGGATAAATGGATATACTCTGTTTTTTTCTCAGGTAAGATTTCGACAGACAATGACAGAAGAAAAGCAGATGACGTCCATACCAATCTATTTATTTTACTAAAAAAAGTTTCTAATATTTTTTTAGTTAACTATGGATGGGTTTAAATATAAATTCGTCATGCGTCGTCTCTTGTTGTTTTTAACCAGTTTTATTGGTTTATTTCAAAAATGTTAGATCATGTTTAAATTTTGTTGCTTTGACGGAAGGATGAACGACAAACGGACGCCGATGTGTATGAATTCGCCTTTAGATTTTTGAGGCTTATCAAAGTCTTGCCAAATTATAGGTTATAATTTTGTGTCAACTTATGTCAAATACCCTGCGTTTTCGAAGATGATGCATTTTGATTCGTGTTATTACGTGTATTTTGTGTCTTTTGAAGTCCAGTGGAGGAAAAATCGAGAGAAAATTAACTGTAGATCCAGAGCACAGTTTATAGTTAACACCCGGTGCCCAGGCAGAAAGTCTTAAGCTTGATTTTCATGCATCCGTTATACGTTGATACGATGGTCCGACAGTGATCTGAGTGGTCATAGCGTAAATATTTTACTTCAGCCCGTCAACGGATCCGTTCATACGATAAAGTCTGGATAAAGTGTACGATAAAGGACGTTTTGACACTTTTTTGACAAATTTAATCTAACCTTAATAAAAATATAAGTAAAATAGCAAAATCGTTATGGAAACGAAAATATAAAATGACACCAACGTATATCCGAAAAACAGAGGCATGAAAATGCAATAAATTTAAAAACTGCGTTATTTTCTAATCAATCAAAGTCTTTAAATTCTACCAATAAAATTAATATCGTAGCAACGTATCGTCGGACAACGGATGCATGAAAATCAAGCTTTATACACCAATATAGTTACCATCAATAAAGTTTGTATACCATCTCGTCATAGATAAGTGCATCTCGTATATGGTACAACGATCGTACTAAACATATACTAAAAAGTGGAGTAGCTGTAAAATATCGACATCACACGATAGGTAAATTATGGACTTTAGTACTGCAGACAAATAATGTCAAAAGGTACTGGTTTAAAAAATTAAGATTAAAGTTAATTAATCAACCTTTAAGGTAGAAAATTTGGTAAGTGTTATATTATTAATAAAATCGTTTGTTTTATTTATGTTGTTTTATTTATTCCAGCGGAATATTACAAATTTGTATTTGTAAATAAGTTATATTGATAAATATAATAATAAATGCGGGAATTTTCTGGAAGCTCGAAAGTAAGAAATAGTTATTTTTTATATTTTTTTTAGTATGTGGTGTTTTGTTCTTGTTTGTTTTGTATTAACACATACCGTTTTTTTTTAAATAAAATAACTCCTTTAGATTTTTTCAGTTTTATACAGTTTTTTTCACAATATTTTGAAGTAATCACTTGTCCCTCAAATTTTAAATATATTAATTTCCTGCTATGCGTTCCAATTGTAAAGTAAAATAAACTACTTTGAAATTAAAATGACAGATACATCTATCACTGTCAAGGATCTTTCAAGCGCGACTATAGCACTATACTCCTTCCTTAATCTCTTTATTCAAAGAGTAGAATTAGATTTATTCCACTGTCAAAATGATCTAAAATTAGTCCTACTTATTCTACGACTTACCTTTTCTATAGGTTCCCTGAAGTTTGTAATCTTTTCGATCATATTTGGTCTAATTTCTTCGTAAAGTAGCAACTCTGTGTCGGGCGCAAACCCGGCTCTCTCATTGAGCAATGGGATAATATCACTTAGTTTACTAGTAACAGGTACGTAAGAGTGACCGCAATAGTGGATTTTCTTCTGTTTGGGATCGTACATTTTGAAGAAAAGCATTACATCTGTCTCCTGTAACAGAAATTTAAAAGTACTACGTTTAGCAAGAAGAAATGTATTGATGTAATTCTACAATTACTGCAGCAAATGATTAAATATTCATATAGTCTGTACCGGATGGCTAACTAAGAAATGTCCCCGGCTGTATCTCAGAAACTACTTATTGTATAACTATGAGGATCAAAATTGTAATAAGTAAATCGGCCAAGAGAAATAGCCGGATATTATTTTCAAGTTCGAGGAATGTCCGCTAGGAGGCGCATCTGTGAAGGCCAATCAGAAAACAGGATTTTTCTCAAAAATATGCAGGTGAAGAGAGAATGATCGAATAAAAACGGCGTCAGCGATGGCTATAAAACGATGATCGATGACATTTCCCATATAATTTTATATACCGGGTGTCCCACTTAAGATGGATACAAGACTATCTTGATTGTTTGTTAAGCGATCTTTTTCATTTTTGGCGGGAGGCTGTATGGCTATAAGACGTACATTTTGCCCAGGGTAAGAAATGCGATACCTCATAGACGTACGTTTTAATGGAGTTTGATATTTTTTGAGTCAAGAGTAAACTACCCTTAGGACAGTATTTATTTCAAATCTGATAAATTATATTGAATCCTCATTACCTAAGATGCTTAAGTTCTAATTTTGATTAATATTGATACAGGGTGCGACATTAAAATAAGACATTTTTATTTTTATTATTATTTTTTTAAGCACTTACGACGCCACTGGATAAACAACAGGTATATTATCAATAACCAATTATAACCAAGTATCAATTAATAATCGATTTAAGTTTTCAGATAACTTCCATAATAATTAAGATACAATACAAAAAAACTAAATATTTTCAATTTATTTTGTTTACTTTAAAAAATTGTTTTTTAAGTTTGCTAATACAAATGAATAAAATGAGTTACAAAATAATTTAAAACCCCAGTTTTCAATGGAATCTGATATACGATTTTTATTCGTTTTATTGAGGAATATTTTAAAAAATCCAAATAGTTAGATATTTAAAACAATCACTATTAACTTTGAAAAATATGCTCTAAACAAAGATTTATAAAACTATAACGAACTAAAAGTCAACATCTTCGACCAAACCACCATAAAAAAACGATTATTAATTGATAATTGGTTGTTGATAATAAACCAGTTGTTTATCCAGTGGCGTCGTAAGTACTTAAAAAAATAATAATAAAAATAAAAATGTGTTATTTTAATGACACACCCTGTATCAATATTTATCAAAATTAGAACTTAAGTATCTTAGGTAAGGAGGATTCAATGTAATTTATCAGATTGGAAATAAATACTGTCCTAAGGGTAGTTTACTCTTCACTCGAAAAATATCAAACTCCATTAAAACGTACGTCTATGAAGTACCGCATTTCTTACCCTTGACAAAATGTACGTCTTATGATATCTTATCCAATATCTTATCTTAAGATATTGGCTTGTATCCATCTTAAGTGGGACACCCTGTATAAAATGACAGCAATCATTATTTCATAGCCATCGCTGACGCCTTTTTTATTCGATCATACGGTATTTTAATATTGCTATTGTAATCAATAGGAAATTTTAAATTTGCTTTTATTAAAATAAGGACAACTCTAGTTTGGGGTGGCCGATTTAAACAAACTATGGTTCGTTTAAAAGAGCTTTTCTTCCCTAATGATCTCCAGTATAAATTTTGTTTCCATAGATTTTTTCGTGACAGCTAGAGGGCGCTGTTTGACATCATAACAGATATTACGCTTTTGCATAAAAAATTAAAAAGCAGGTTATGTTTTTCTAAAGGGAGTCGAGAATTAATAGTTAATATGACTGTTTTAACCCATTTATTTCAAAGTTTTTGATACTCAACTGAATATTGCTGAAAGAATATTCAACAATTAAAAAGCAAGAAACCTAACCTTGTCAAATGCTGGAAGACTAGATTGTCCGGAATCTGGAGGTAGAAGTTCTAAAAATATGTTCCATGGATTAACGTTTTCAGCTGCGTCGAGGACTGTCTTGTGTAAGTCTTCCAGGTCTAGCACGCCAGGTCTCATTGTCTGATTCGACCTAATAGAATAATCATTATAAGTACCGTATATGAAACTCAAATACAATCACAAAATATAGCGCATGCATCGTACTTTAACTTAATTTTTTCAAACATATTTATATTCCAAATGAATTTGCGGTAATTGGCTCTTTTATAGAAAATCGATATATCTACAAGTCATCATAAAATAAATCAAAGAACTACTTCTTCGTTTTTCTTGATAGAATAATAAATACATAGTTAATAAATATTATTTATTAAACTATTGTAGATAAATTAAATAAAAGTAAACTGGTATAAATAGAAATAAGTCCATAAACTAATTCCGATTTTGAAAATAGCTACTGTCACTAGACACTTTCCATGACGACACTAGCCCTCTTGGTAGCCATTTTATTGAAAAATTGCTCTTTATTCAAAAGCTAAGCTAGATAGGTATAGAAAACCCTAATATAATTTGAAAGAGCATTTGAATCTGCTTTGATTTATTTAAAAAAATAAAGGGTCTTGTATTTGAAATAACAAAGTTTCTATGCAAAATAAATATTTAAAATAGACCAGCAATTGTTGATACCCCTGTATACATTAAACGAAGCAGCAATCAAATTTTTCAGTAAAGTTTATTTATTTGGTTTAAAAGTCAGCACAAGAATTAATTCTGAAAAGCAATGTACAGGGTGTTGACAATATTTTTTATTATAGCATGCATATTTAAATATCTCAAAAACAAAAGGTTGTAAACATGTTTAACCCTTATATTAAATGCCTTATTTTACGTCCAAGGATCCAAATATGACATAAAATACCGGGTGTTCGATTAGAAAAAATATAACTTTGGTGTAGATCTTAGTTCTGACATACCCTGTACATTTCAAAATACTTTTAAATTATTCAGATTGCTTTCCCACATATACCCATAAAATATTTTGTTTTCTACATCTTTCTGTTTTCGTATCATCAACCAAAGCGAATGACTGTGCGCCACCCTGTATAAAGATAGATGGCAACACTGCCAGATGAAAAAATGCTTTGCGTTTTTCTCTCTCCGAATTATTATCTCCATTGCGATTCACTCCTAGACATGTAAACACCGACCCAAGACTTCACTTGTCGATAGGGTATGTTTCTATAATACTGGACTAATATTCTTAACTACTCAAAGATAACAATCAAAAAAATATTTCTATCAAGCAAATTAAAAAAATGTGTCACTACTGGTACCTACTGAAATGCAAGTATGAAAAATTAAAAATCTGAGTGGAAATGGCAAAACCTTTGTACACAGTAACGTTTTAGAACCAGATTATAAACTGGTAGCAAGTGAAGTTTAAAAAAAACGCTGGTAAAATATAATCCACAAGTTTTAGCATAGCTATTACTGTCAATTTTGAAACCTTCACATACCTGTTGCATAAAAGTTAATTTAATTTGGTGCATACATTCCCTACCGTAGGTGTATTTCTTATTCCTTAAGCTTGAGTTTCATATGTCCGTTAACCGTTGACATGGTTAACGGACGGTGCTCTGATTGGTCATAGCGTTTTCGCGCCACTTTTCATCCGTAAATTTTTTACTCCAGCCCGTCAACGAAGAAAGATCGTACGATAACGGACGTTATGACACTTTTTTGACAAATTTAATCTAACCTTAATAGTACAAGAGCTAGCAACGTGGGAAAACGAGAATTTTAAGAAAGCTGGTTCTTTAATATACCTTTTGCTATGTTCTCCTGATCAAAGTGCGGCCGCCCAGCTGCCGGTAGACTACTGCGGTTCACTACTGCGCATCACATCTGTACAGAATTACTGCACATCCCATTTTCGTGTTTTATGGAATTTCTCGTTTATGAATAGAGATACAATAATGAGATTTTCACATTATTTTTCTACTTCTTTATGAAACTAAATATGCTACACATGTTTGTCCTAGCCTCCTTAGTTCCTGAAATACAGCGCAGTAGTGAACGCAACGTCTACCGGCATGCGGGCGGTCCGCACTCTGTTCAGTAGAGCATAGCAAAACATATATTAAAGAACTAGCTTTCTTAAAATTCTATTCTCTCGAAAACGTAGCTAGTTCTTACGACTATAAGTAAAACAGCGAAATCGTTATGGAAATGAAAATATAAAATGACACCAATCACAAGCAAATCGTATGATGAACGTAGACCTGGAAATGCAATAAATTGAAAAACTGCGTAGTTTTCTAACCAATCCAAGTGTTTAAATTCAACCAATAAAATTAATATCTATCATCGTATCGTCGAATAACAGATGCATGAAAATCAAGCTTTATAAATAGGGCATTAGAAATATCATATGTTTTTTACCGTCCAGAGTAATAAGCCAATCTGTTCGAAAAGTTACCTGGGAACAAAGCGAATGCCGTTTCTCTAAATCTAAATCTAAATGCGAGCAACACCGACTATATAAAACATCAACAACACTACAACCTCTGAGAGAAGGGCCACGGCCTGATTTGCTCCGGGGGATACTTGAACGCGTCCGCCAGCATTTCCATCATTTCCGCCACCGGAGCCTGCTTCCGGATCTTGAACACGCGGAACTGCGCGTGCTCCGGGTCGTACAGGTCGTTGCCCTGGTGTCCGTCGAACTGGTCCTCCAACAGAACCTGCAAAAAAAGTTGGACTGAATCAAATCATTTTTTTTTAATATTAAAAAACCTCCCTCTAGATTTATTAAATTATAGTTTTGATCAATTGATCATAGATAGCGCAATATTAGTTTTCCATATTAAACTTGGTAAAGAAATGTTGTTTTATTGAAAAAAGTATGGCTCTAGATCTTTTTTTAGTCAAAATCAAAAGGCGCAATTAGAATTTGCAGTGAATGATTTTGAATTTGATTATAAACTATGTGCAAAACTTTGACCGCGAATAACTTTTAAAGGAATGTTTTAATGGAAAAAACAAAGAGACCTTTTTTGTAGAGCGTAAAATTTTGTATTAGAATATGTCATTATCGAATATCTGTAATTTTATTTACTTTGGTGATAAAAAATTAAATGCAAAAGGTCAGAAAATCCCATGTTATTTAAATGGGAAAAGTATCATGATTCCGGCACGGTTTATATTAAAAATTAAGAGCTTGTTTACGTTGAATAATTTTTTTAGAGCAAAAACTTAAATTTCAGAGGGCCAAGACTAAAATTTTCATTTTTCGATAAATCTCAATAGTGTCACTGTTAGTTTAACCACAAAAAACTTCCCTCTAGATTTATTAACTTTAAACAACTATCAGTAGTAGAATAAATAATAAATAACATAAAAAATAGGCTCAATCAAGACTGACAAATCCACAAAATCTCAAATCAAATTCAAATGTGTCAAATGACAAACAACTGTCAAGGACACCCACCCTAGAGTCCTCTTTCCGTCGACCATGCATGAATACATGGATATCATTATACTTCTTCCTTAATCTTTTTATTCAATGCATTATAATAAAAGTAGTTCAAATGTACTACGCCTTTTAAGGTGATATAATATTGAAAAATGCAGTGTTATCGAATGAAATCGACATAACAGTGGGCACATATGTATAACTTAGGTTACATTCTTCTATTGTAACTATTGTTCTAGATTGAGCCATCCATATAGATTCAAAAGTTCAAAGTGAATACAAGAATAGAGAGTTTCTTTTCATTGCCACTTTGTTACAAAAAAAATATAATTTTCTAATTTATTTACCTGTATTGTCATATATAAATGCGCTTCATTCCTTTCCTTCCTCCTAACCTGTTCCATCCGCTTCTCTTCTGCCAACCTGTCTGCTAATTCACTGGGTATGTCAGCATCGGTAACCTAAAAGTCAAAATCAATATTATACTCTGTTTTTTTTTCTCAGGTAAGATTTCGACAAACTATGACAGAAAATAAGCAGATGACGTCCATACCAATCTATTTATTTCACTAAAAAAGTTTCTAATATTTTTTAAGTTAACTATGTATGGGTTTATACAGGGTGAGTTTCCTACGATGTTCTCTATGGGTATCTTGGAAACTACTGGAGATAGAGAGTCGGTTAAATGGGGAAAGAATTGCAGTTTTGTGGGGTCATAAATATGCGCCTTTCAGATTTATGAAAAAGTTCATGGCTTACTAGATATTTTGGAAAAAACAAATTTCGGCTATTTTAAAAATTGTCCCTAATTCTATTATAAGCTATTTTAGACAAAAAGTTTTCAGATAAAAGTTGTAGATAATCACATCCTTAATGAGATCGTGTCCTCTGTTTTTTTCTAAAGCCTGTAATTTTTGACATATCACACAAACGTATGTTTTTTAAATGGAAACCATAGTTGGCCATGACTTCATAAAAAGCGGCATTTTTAAGCTTTTTAGCGCTTTAAGCTATAATATGTTTTCTTCGAAAAATTACTGAGTTATAGCCAATTCTTATCTTTCTTGACTAATTTCACTTAGTTAGCCATGGAAACGAAAGTTCAATCGCCGTTACTCTCAGAAATGTGAAGCTGTCATATTCAAACTTTGTAAATTAAAATAAACAAAAATTGTAAATATGAATTTCTCAAATGAAGAAAAGCGTGTAGATACTCGCGCATCAATAGAGTTTTTCTTTCCAAAATGACTTTCATTATGCCCCCCCCCCCGCATAATGAAAGAAATGTTAAAAATTATTGATATCATAATAATATAAACTCAGGGATAGGAAGAGGTGGACTAATTGCATGGGCCTCCTCGATCACCTGACCTATCCATTTTAGATTTTTTATGCGGTATGGTTAAAAATAAGGTTTGCAAACGAACTTATGTATTAAGAGAGGCACTCGAAGTGGCGGTACGAGAGAAGTTTAATTAAGTCTACCGGTCCTTTTGTGAGAATAGGTAATAATTCAGTTTTAAAAACTTGGTTCGTTTTATTAGTTGTGTGTTTTGTGTTTTTTGAAGTTAAGTGGAGGAAAAATTGAGGGAAACTTAACTGTAGACCCAGAGCAGAGTTTATAGTTAATATTCGGTGCACAGACAGAGAGTTTTATAGACAAATAAAGTTACCATCAGTAAAGTTTGTATACCATCTTGTATATGGTACTAAAAACTGGAGAATCACACAATAGGTAAATAATAGATTTTAGTACTGCAGAAACAATGTCAAAAGATACTGGTTAAGTGATCAGCTTTTAAGGTATAAAATTCAGTAAGAAGTGTTATTAATAAAATATTTTGTTTTATTTATGTTGTGTTTATTTATTAATGTGCAATATTAATGTTATTTTATTTGCACATATTATGTTGCACATATTGCACATATTTTATTTGCACATATTTATTTGCACATATTATATTATAAATATAATAATAAATTCAGGAAGTTTCTTAAGCTTGAAAGTAAGAAATAGTTCTTTTTTATATTTTTTTTTGGTTGGTTGGTTGTTTAAAAAACATCCTTGTTTGTTTTGCACACATATATTTTGCTTGTACACATACCCTATTTTAAATTAAATAACTCGATTAGATTTTTTCAGTTTTATACATTTTTTTTCACAATATTTTGAAGTAATCACTTGTCGCTCAAATTTTAAATATAGGTATTCAATTGTACCAACTTATTTCTTTGTAAAATGAAATAACTACTTTGAAATTAAAACGACAGACACATCTATCACTGTCAAGGATTTTGTCGTTGGACAGACTATACATAACTTTATAAAGAGCGCACTTTTAATTTATAATCAAATATTTACCTCTTGTAATACGTTTGGAAGTTCGGAATCTCTAATATATACCAACATGTAAGCGTTGGTGCAATGCTTCACATTCATCATGTTCAGATCTTCATCGTGCCCGCCGTAATTGTGTTCGATCGCTTCGCCTTTGGTGCATCGCGACACCACATCGTCATCGAATTTACACCATTTCCCATCACCTAAAACCAATAAAAAAATAAAATCAATCCAATAAAATATATAATAAAAAATAATTTGAAACCAACATCCAAAATATGACAGAAAAAAAATGTTTTAAATAACACTGTCACTGTCATGTATTCTTTTGTTGGATAGACTATAAGATGGTTAACCAACTTCTCAGTCAACATAAATTTATTCTTACCTCTAGGATTAATAAATACTACATAATGACCTCCATGATTATCACCGCTATGCACTAAAACTGCATGTAACGTGTAATTGGCAGGATCATTTTGATCTTTTTCTTGTAAAAATTCATCCAACTGAATTTTTTCATAAAATTCAAATCTAAAAACAATAAAAATAAATTAGAATAGAGTTACAGACAATGTCTACAACACATTGAATTATTATTATTAATCAATTTTTGTGGGATGACTTAGGTGTTAAAAATTCAAGCTACAGGCACAGATTCTACAAGTAACAACAAAATTCTCTATTTAAATAAAATGTAATACAAAAAGGATAATAAAAAATAAGAGGCAGTGAAAGTAAGATGTGTGAACGATTTCATCGACTTTATTTTTTTAAATACACCTCTGGATTTTTACTATTTTTAAAACTAATGACATCCTAAATACAATAATGTATACTCTGTTTTTTTTCTCAGGTAAGATTTCGACAGACGATGACAGAAAAAAAGCAGGTGACTTCCATACCAATCCATTTATTTCGCTAAAAAAAGTTTCTAATATTTTTAATAAATAAATAAATAGAATAAATAAATCCGTCATGCATCGTCTCTTGTTAATATTAGTATTAATATTTTAATGTCACTTATTAATTACCTATTTTTCTTCAATTTTAATTTAATATAACAATTGTCTTACATATTCAGTTTATATGTGCACGTCTCCTTTTTAGACTTTTTTGGGTTAAATATGAGTCAGTGGCGGCATGCGAGTATATAAGGTGAGGCTACATGAGGTTAATAATTTTGTTTACAAATACCTTTGAATAAGAAGACTAAGGAAGGCGCATAATGCTATCCATGTATTCATGCATGGTGGGCGGAAAAAGCACTCTAGGGTGGGGATACTTGACAGTTCTGTTTGACGATTCATTTGACACATTTGAATTTGATTTGAAATTTTGTGGATTTGTCAGTCTTTACGGAGCTTATTTTATGTTATTTATTATTTATTCTACTACTGATAGTTGTATAAAGGTAGTAAATCTAGATGGAAATTGTGGCAGAACTTAAATTAACAGTGACACTATCGCGATTTATCGAAAAAGACTCTAAAATATTTGGTTGTGTAGCGTGCGGTAGATCTCGGCAAAAATTGAGTGAAATAATGGAACAACTTTTCGCTAGTAATAAGTGACTATATAATATACATACGTGTAACCGATCATTTATGAAATTCACTTAAATTAACTAAATTATATATTTTTCTTGCATTTTAGCTTTTATTTATTACTTGTCAAAGATTAGATGTCAAAGAATTTAGATACGTTAATTTGACTTACCTGCTTCAGTAGCGTATCGGATGTTTGTGTTAATAAATACTTATTATAATTTATCTATTTTTATTAGAATTATATATTTTTATAACAATTTTAATAACTACCAACATTTATTCACAACGTAAAATAAAACAACAAATTATTGAGTTTACCCCACGTCTACCCTACATCATAGTTTTACATTTTTTAAATAAAATTAGAACGACACTGATAAACCGGAATTTAAGTCGGCCATATTTGAGGCCCATCGCGGTGTACCTAAGATTTTTGATATGCTCCTTCCTTAGTCTTCTTATTCAAAGACAAATACATTTTCTCACCTATGAAGTATTTTTTTTCCCACCTATGAAGTATTATTAGGTTTAGTTCCAAGATATTTGAAAAGTTCTTAAAAACCTATTGCCTACCTTGCCTCTTATAGTTAAATATTTCGGGAATTTTTGACTCCTTAATATTTATTTGTCCTTTTTTTCAGTTTCATTTTGTCTTAGAAAAGGAGTTTCAAGAACAGAAAGAATAACGTTATAAATAGGATTCATTTCAAAGAAAACACTAAAATTCAACTCCCTCTTCGGTACTTTAAAATAAATAAAATTTTACCGGCGAAGAAAAGCCGAACATTCAAAGTTCAACAATATTTCGTTGTGTTGAATTTTAAAAACTGCTAAAATTCCACCTTACCCTGTGTGTAATCGAGTTAAAAATACTGTATCTAATAGCTATCAAATAATTTAAATTTAGAAACACAGACAATCTAAGTAATTCTGGCCCTAAATGTCTAAATAAAAACAAAAACGAATGCTAATTCACCCACGCTGTTCTCACCACACGAGATCGAGACTTTGTCGCATTTTTCAATAGTCAATAGTCATAAGAATAAGCGCTAAAAATCTCGTCTCAATCCTGCGATCGAGAATGCGTACACCCATCGTGGCCGTCGGTTCACCGGCGTCACGTGACCTTAAATTGTCGCTGCTAATAGGTAGGCAATTCGAACTTTCCAAGCTAGAATTATTTCGCCTCTGTCGGCTCGCGTTCTTTTTGGCTGGGTTTACGCGGCTTATGTTGTTACGCGGCCTGCATGTATTTATAAAATATATATTTTTTAGTTTTATTATGTTGAATGTGTGTTGTAGAATTTTAATAAGTTATACTGGGATTAAATATAAAACTAGATAGAAAAAATAAATCGTTCCTTCGTTTTAAAGGTGAGGCGCGGCCTCAGAAGCCTACCCTGACGAACCACCACTGATATGAGTCACTCTTTTCATCATACTGAATTTTTTAGGAGTACTTTTTGTATAAAAAAATTAAGTTATGAAAAATGTGCAATTTTTACACCACTTGGGGGAGAGGTGTAAAAATTGGAATTTAAACTTACTTATCATTGAATTTCACTGACGAATCGGTTACAGGATCGTACTGGAAACGCATCAAATGGAGATGCAACACCGGCGGAAACGAGGAAAAAATCACCCCCTTTTCCGCTTCCTGCAGACCGTGCTCTCCCGCGTCGTACTTGTTGTCTCCATCTAAGGTCTCCTTCGCTATGTAATCCTTAAACGATTCATAAACTGCAAAGGAAAACCTTTAGACACGGCGCGCCAACAACGTAACCGACCTTACTGTTCTTTTTCCCTTTTATGTTGAGCTGGATATCGTAAAAAGTTTCCGATCGGGTGCTCGAATAATCCACATTTTTACATCTGATATAGGACAGCATTTTGCCTTCGAATAGTTTGGGAACGGTGCCCTCTACGCAAGTGCCTTTCATTTTACTTTCTAACTTATCTAATAAAACCTGAAAAAAAAATATGAACGTTAACATTTGTTGGAGAAAAATAAAACACTAATCACAACACATTTTAAACTTGTAAAAAAATTGTTATAATAGTTTAATTTATTAATTATTTTGGTGAAATAGTGTCTTATTTTGTTGGTGTAACATTAAATGTTTCAAACCTCAACTGTATTTAACGTTTATCACATTATAATAAAAGTAGTTCAAATGTACCACTCTGTTTTAACGGGATATAACATTTAAAAATATTCATAATCAAATATTCAATATACAGGGTGAATCAGTGTAGAAAAGAAGTCCCAAAATATATGTTATACAGGGTCCGGCAATAGTGCGTCGGGCATCTGTAGCTCATAGAATAAAATATTTGAGAATTTTGTTTTAGTGCAAACCTAAAGTATGTACCAGGATGTGTTTCAGGAAAATATTTTAACTTCTATAGGGTGGCTCAAAAAAGTGTGGGTGGACGTGGACGATTTTTTTAAAATGGAACACCCTGTATATTATTGCATTTTTGGATTCCTTTCAGATCACTTTACATAAAAAGACTTCTTAGGGTTATGTAAAGTGAAGGGTGTTCCATTTAAAAAAAATCATCTAGGTCCACTCACACTTTTTTGAGCCACCCTATAGAAGTTAAAATATTTTCCTGAAATACATCCTGGTACATACTTTAGGTTTGCACTTAAACAAAATTCTCAAGTTTTTTATTCTAAGAGCTACAGATGCCCGACGCACTATTGCCGGACCCTGTATTTGATATTTTCTTTCCTATAATTTTTTATAACATATACGAGCGATAGTAACGTAAAATTAAAAACATTCTCATAGATATACAGAGCGATTCAAGAATATTTTTACACTAAAGATTTAGTTTGTCAATGGAACAATTAAGATTCCAAAAAAATACCTTGATGTTACCATCAATAGCAAGTGGTTTTTGGAATATAACTATTTTTATACCTTTTTTTGTTTAAATCACTCCCAAACTTAAAAAATGTTTCTTTTTAAGTTTTAATTTATTAATTATTTTGGTGAAATACTGTTTTATTTTGTTGGTGTAACATTAAATGTTTCAAAGCTCAACTGTATTTAACATTTATCACATTATAATAAAATTAGTTCAAATGTACCACTCCTTTTTAAGTGGATATAACATTCAAAAATGGCAGTGTTATCGAACGAAAACGACGTACCAGTAGGCACAGAATTCATATTGCCATATAAAAATATTCATAATCAAATATTCAATATACAGGGTGATCCAGTGTAGAAAAGAAGTCCCAAAATAGATGTTATATTTGATATTTTCTCTTCAATAAATTTTATAACATATCCGAGCGATAGTAAGGTAAAATTAAAAACATTCTCATATATACAGAGCGATTCATGAATATTTTTACACTAAAGATTTAGTTTGTCAATGGAATACTTGATTACAAAAAAATACCTTAATGTCACAATCAATAGCAAGTGGTTTTTGGAATATAATTATTTTTATACTTTTTTTTTGTTTGAATCAGGTATCCATTTCAAAACAAATTTTTTGGTTTAAATTTACTACATAGTTTGTTTAGAACCTCTTTTAGTGCAAAGTGTACTAGATAGCTTAATAGCCAATGCAAAAAACTCATTGCAACCTTATTAGAATATTCTGAACGTAGTAATTTAGCCCTTTATGTCCCTTAAGTGCTGTTAAGGAGGTGAGTTTTGCCGATGTAAATAATAACTGTTTATATATTTATAATTAATTCATTTTTGTTTCCTAAACTTTTTGATAATAAGAAAATATGTAAAAGTGGACAACGCTGTGACAGTTAAGCTTAATTACGTGACAAAAGTTTGATTGGTATAAACTATAAGTATTCTTTTTGAACACTAGAGTTGTATTGAAAAATAGTAATTTCAAAGATTTAAAAAAATATGCAGATTTCACAAATAAAAATGTAGAAAATTTGTAAATTTACGACAAGAAAAAGAACAATCAAAAAATAAGACGTCAATGAATTGATATAATTCACTAAAAATATTTAATCAATAATCTGTTTTAGCATTGGTACCAATCACTAATCCTAAAGGGCTCCGAGAATGTATTGCCAACTATTTCAGTCATTGTGGATTGCCCCGTATCTTTAGTTACATTTCATTTTCATTTGAAACATAGGTCTCTTTATTCTCTACTAGGAACTTAGTGTCCCTGGACTCTAAATCTAGTGGCATTAGTGGCAGCACCGAAGTTGGTTAAAGAATACCTGAGAAGTTAAAGTCCTCTTACTCTGGGTGCCTGCTCACCAAGGGATAGAAGGCAATAAAAAAGCAAATGATCTAGCTAGAAAAGGAGCGAACACTCCACTAACTGGACCAGAACCGTTCTGTTTTCCAAACGGGAACCAACTGAAAGCGGAACTGAAGAATCTGGAAGACTCCGTCCCTAACTTGGAATGGGTGTCCTCCAACGGTCTAAGACACTCGAAAAAGTTCCTCAGAACTTACGACTGAGAAAAATCAAAGGTTTTCCTTGATTTAAGTAAAAACAATCTTCGGATTGTCACGGGGTTTAACTAACAGGACACTGTCTCCTCAACGAACACCTCAGTAGGCTGAAGCTGAGAAACAACGGCGAATGCAGATTCTGTGGGGAAAATGGGGAAACACCAGAACACCTTATCACTGAGTGTGCCGAGACAATGACCATTCGTGCCATGAACTTTGGTAAGGCTGATGGATGGAGAGCTGGCCTCTGTGGAGCCGTCTCAGATACTGGCTTTTGTTAAAGCCCTGAGACTCTATGATGAAAATAAGAAAGGGAAACACAAAATAGATCTGTAAGGTCGCGGTGATTAACTCCCCTCAAACATTCTACATTCTAGTGGCAGCACTAGCAATAGCGCGAGCACGAATGGATTGAGATTACTTATAAAAAGAAGTTCCTTACTCTTAAAAACTCTTGAACATCGTGTTGCATAAATGAATCCAAAGTTTCCCAGCCGAAACTTTTCGTTAGTTTTTTCGTTCCTACAGGCTTGTCAGAGAACTGCAGTTCGTGGAACACTCTCTGTAAAGCCAGAGCAACCGATTTGGTAGAATCGTCGGATTCGGTAGGCATCTTGTACACCGCCTTCCTGAGTTGGTTGGTAAAGTACAAGGTTTGGAGCAAGGAGTTCATGTAACATGTCGCACCCTGGTTCTTTAGTCCTACATAACCTAAAGAAAAAAAAATTGGTGTTAGTTATATTACTAATTATTTTAAATAAAATGTAAATAGAATATGTAGAAAATACAGACTTTTATTCAGAACACTAAAACGTAATGTAAACTATTTCAATAATTCTGGCTCTCCCGGTACAGGGTTTTCTATTTTTGTGTTTATATACATAGATAAGTCCTAGTCTAAGAGCTAGCAACGTTTTCGAGAAAGTATTTTAAGTCGTCTGGCTCTTTGATATATCTTTTACTATGCTCTCTGGAACAGCATGCGGCCCGTCTGGCTGCCGATACCCGTTGCGTTCACTACTGCGCATCGAAAGAAGATCCTATATTTTTTTATTAATTTAGTACTATAAATTCTAGTATTGAATATAAATCGAACATGTCTCCATAGCGCAGTGCGTAGAGTTTCCGACCACGAGCCGATGATTCAGAGTTCGAATCCAGGTCAGGTCAAAAGACTTTTTTATTTTATTTTCGTTTATGTAGTGTTATCCCCCCACACTTGATCATTTCAATAACAATATCTCCATCTCCGAGTTCGGGTGCTCTTCCATTTTTAATTTCTTTAACCATTTTTTTTTAATTTCAATAAGTTGTAAGATAAACAAGATACGAAAAGAGTAGAAAAATTCAACAATTTCAAATATGCTCTTGTTTCAGGAACTAAGAGGGATAGGACAAATCTGTGCCTAGCATCTTTAGTTTCATATAAAAAGTAGCACGATAATGTGAAAACCGCATCTTTGTAACTCTATTCATAAATGAAAAACCCTGTAAAATACACGAAAATGGGACGCCCTATATAACCAGCAATTAGTTCTCTTTATAGCTGATATAAAGTGATCAAAAAGAAAATTTTATCTTGTTGATAGAAATAGTTATTAACTATTTTACAAAAAATATTATCAGACAATTTGTAACAGTATCAAATTTAATCTGTAAAAAATCTACAAAATTAAATTGCACAATTATTTTATCAATAAATTGATAGAAAATAAAAAAAAATAAAATGTAATCGTGCATTTCTAAGAGTGGATAATGTTTCAATTATTGCATACCTGTATGTTTCTTGCTGTCCCAAGAAACGCCATGTGGAGCATCAGCTAAGACGTGTACTTCCAAAGTAATGGCGTCGTCTTTTATGAAGCCCTTCTCGGGATCCAAGACGTCATTCCAAACCATAAAATGAGAAAATCCCCAATCATTTTCCTGGAAAAAAATATTGCAACCATAAATTATACAAGCTGGTGTAAATAAACAATAATTTTACGTGACATGGTTTGATCACATTAACTATTGAATTTCAGGAAGTTAAGAGTATATCGTATGATCTACTGACCTCATCTTTATTTCCAAGTCAACTTTGAAGCTTAACCCCATTGTATATACAGATCATATGATACAATGTAAATTACTTGGATTTATGTACAGCGCATTTTATTTTGCTCCATTTTTAACAGGCAATAACTTATTTATTTTAACTATATTTATTAAGTGAAGTTTTATTATGTATTATCACAAATATCATACACTGTCATTAGGGCTCAGAATCGGGAAATCCCGGTACCGAAAGACTGGGAATTCCTGGTTCTTTTGAGACATCAAAGAACCGGGTATCGAAATTATTAATTCCCGGTTCTTTCGGTACTTTCGTGACTCGGTAATACCAATTAAAAACATATTTTTTGTATTAATGTATTAATTGTGGTATTAGTTATATTTTTTTGTGTTAAGTTTTTATAGACATTTGCACCTTTAATTGAAAATATTTGCTTGCTAATTGACGAACTACAGTCATTGAACGAATATATTTTAGTACAGTTCCGGAAACTCTAATTAATACTATCAATTAGGGTTCAGATCTTTTTGGCCATCACAGAACGGGGACTCGGTAACAATAATTAAAAAATTATTGTTTTGTTACGTGAGAAAGTCCTTTGATTTTTACTTTCTAGCGATTGAAATCAAACTCTTCTAAATAAGTAATGATGCTATTTCTTATTGTTTTTGCTTCTTTTCTTTCTTGAAATTCCTATAATCTTTGCATCACCAATACGTGGTTCATGTCGAAGGACAAGTTTAAAGGTACCTGGAAACATCCTAGATCAGGCTACTGGCATCAATTGGACCACATAATCGTTCGAAGGACGCACCTAAAAGATGTTAGGCTCACAAAAGCCAGAATAGATGCCGAATGCGGCACTGACCACCAACTTTTAATTTCAAAAATGAAAATCTAGTTAAAACCCAAACATCCACATTGTAAAAAGCAAAACAACATGACCAGATTGAACGTACGGGGTCTAGAGAACAACAATACCGCCGACGCCCTCCGGGAAGCCATCAAAGAATCACTTCCACCGATAACTTCAATCTCGATCTTAGAAGCTGAACAAGGCTGGACACATATAAGGGATGTGATTCATAAAACCAGCGAAGCAGTACTGGGAAAGTCGAACAAAAAGAAACAACCAGACTGGTTTAACGAAAATCAACCGCATATACAGGTTTTGTTGGAACAAAAGCATAGAGCACATCAAGCAGTCAGTGCAAATCCACATAATCCAAGATGCTAGACAACTTTAAAGCAGCCAACAACACGCTTCGAAGAGAACTGCGCCAAGTAAAGGATAACTGGTGGTCACAAAAAGCGAATCAGATTCAAGAGTACGCCACGCACCACGACTATCGTAAATTCTTCGACGCTGTAAAAGAAGTATACGGTCCAACTAAGAAGGTAAGCTGTCCAATCATGGCACAAAATGGCAAACTTCTAAAAGAGGAAGAACAAATCAGAAATCGCTGGAACATTACAGCCATATCCTTAACCAAGAAAACAATCCCAATATGGAAGCACTAAACACAATACCTAAGTATAACAGCCTCGATGTATTAGACATCCCAATAACAGAACAGGAAATAAAGACCTCCATAAAACAGCAAAAAAACAACAAATCAGATGGCTATGACGCGATTCCGGCAAAAATCTAGAAGTGTGCAAGTAAAGAACTTATTGGTCATCTTATGGCTCTCTTCGATGTCGTATGGGAAAGCGGGAAGGTACCTCAGGATTTTCGCAACGCGAATATAGTGAATATATTTAAGAACAAAGGAAGTGCATCAGACTTCAGAAATTACCGGTAAATTTCACTATTGGCTATCGGCGGAAACATTCTTGCAAAAATTATGTCAAACCGCCTGCACACATATATAGAAAAAATCCTTCCAGAATCGCAAACTGGTTTTCGTACCAACCGCGGCACCGTCGATTCCATATTTTCCATCCGTCAACTACAGGAAAAAGTAAAAGAGCAGCAGTCTAAACCATAGATAAATGCAACAAGTTTAGATTGGAAAGCCCGTAAAAATTTTAGGTCGCGAAATTATTTTGGGTCGCGACCGTTATACGCGATCTGGCTCTGTTATAGCGGTCGCTAAGAACAACGGCAAACAAAAACAGAAATAATTTTCTCTTGTCAAAGTCAGAATCTTCAAAAATCATAATAATCTTTCAAAATCTAAACCGCTCTCATTAAAGAAATTCCGAAAAGTGCGTTCATTTTCAAAGTAATTATTGCTATCTTATGAGTTTAATTCAAGTTTTATTTACTCTAACCGGTGATAATTGTGAAAAAGTGGCATTAAAAACTTAAAAAGCTGTGCTGTGAACTGTGAACAGCAAAAACCATCGTGGATCGTGGCATAACGTCGGTTTCCAATGTTTCATAGGTATTTCATACATGCGTCCTTATATAAAATAAAGTTTCTTGTATGCAACACACTGTATTTTATTTATAAAATTAAACGAAAATAATATTGGCTATCAGCGGAAAATATATGGGCGATATAATTCCGGAAAAAGCCGAACCGCTCCGAAATTTTCAAAAGTTTCGGGACGCGACCGTTGCAAGAACAGCGCCAAATAGTGTTTACATTGTCCTTATGGGCACTTTCCAATCTAAACTTGTTTCATTTATCTATGGTCTAAACTTTATGTTGCATTCATCGATCTAACAAAAGCCTTCGACTCTGTGAACAGAGATGCGCTTTGGGCAATTATGAAAAAGTTCGGAGTACCCAACAACAAGTCAAGAGTGTCACATCATGGATCACTGAGCGATCCATTCCTAACAAATACAGGAGTTAGGCAGGGATGTGTCTTAGCGCCTCTCCTATTCAACATATTCATGGCAGCGCTCTCCATTATAGTGGACAGCAAATTGCAGGAGAGAGGATTGGGCATTAGATACAGATACGACGGCGGTCTGTTCAACATAAAAAGACTCAGGGCAAAAACACGTACAAAATTCATCACAGAACTTCAATAGGCTGACGACTGCGCTCTAGTTGCAAACACGGTACAACAATTAGAAGAAATGTTGAACACATATACCTGGGCATACGAGGCTTTGGGCCTTAAACTAAACATCGACAAAACTAAAATCATGTGCACTCCCCCGGAAGATCACAACAATGCGATAAAATCGGAGAACTATTGGAATATGTGGCGGAATTCAATTACCGTGGCAGTTTGATTTCGGAAAAGGCCAATATTGACTCTGAAATTCAGCACAGGATTAGTAGCGCCTCAAGAGCATTCTGGAAATTAAAAGACAGGGTTTTCTACAATCATGACTTGAGTACAAAAACAAAACTTGCAGTGTACCGAGTACCGAGCAATTATAATCCCCACCATGTTATATATGGGAGTGAAACCTGGGTGCCGTACCGCCGACACATAAACGCATTAAACAAGTTGCAACAGAGACACCTTAGACAACTCTTAAGAATCCGGTGGTTCCATCATGTCTCAAACTTATTGGTCCTTGAAAAAGCTAACTGCGAGAGTATTGGAGTCATGGTTACAAAATCCCGCTTAAGATGAGCTGGTCACGTATGCAGAATAGAAAACCGCATACCAAAATCTCTGCTTTACGGTGAGCTTGTAGACGGTAAGAGAACGCTGGGTGGACAACTTTTTAATTCAATATTTTAGGGCTTTTGTCTCAAATACAGTAAAGTTGGTTTATGCTGTTTGATGTGAAATTTAAGTTACCTTTTTCTTTACTTGTGTTTATGTTAATTTTTTCATGACTGATTACTTAATAATTTGATATTATTTTCATTAAAAATCTCAATTTTTTATCCATTTTACGAAAACCCATCCCTTGCTTTCTGATTGAAAGTACCGAAAAAAATAGAGGCGCGGTATCGAAATTTCCTGTTCCGAAAAACAGCTCCGGTTCCGGAAACCCTAACTGTCATGGACACTGTATATTAAAAGTGAATTAGTACATTTTTCTAATTTCAAAAATATATATACTTTATCCAATCAAATAAGTGTGACATTGAATAGTGTATGACATTTATATAGTTCATATCAAATAAACTTTTAGTCACGTGATTAAGCTTGACCGGCGTAACATATACACCACAATAAACTGCCAACCAACAAATATGCTCACTTTTACATATTGTTTGATATCCCCAGCGGGAAATTTAAATTCCAGTTAGTCAGCCCGGCGCCGAATATATCCACGGTTGGCAACAATAAATTTAAAATCGCGCCCTCGATTACGTATCTAAAAGTTTAATTGTTATCAAATATAGTATTATACATTAAAACTTTTAAAATTATATATTAGAAAAGTTATAAATTTATAATTGTGCATTTTCAGTTAATACAATAGCAATTTAAAATACATACTAATACTGTGTATGTGTATTAATAAGGTATTAATAAGTATTATTCATATTTCGAAAGCTGCAAATATCAAATCAAAAAGCAAGTTAATGATTCATCAGAATTTAAATATTTAATAAGAGCAATCATTAAAATCGCTGAAAACAATTTTAAGTGTTATTTGATTTGTAATTGATAAAAAATTTCTAATTATTTAGTTAATAAATATCTGTAGACATTAAAAAAGTCGCCTGATATATAAAAAATACATTTTAACTTGTATCAATGCCTTTCCATGTTTTTTTTTTTCATAATTACAGATATACAGTATAATTGGTAAGTGTCTTCTATTCTGTTATAGAAAATATCATTAATGATCGTACAGTATAGAAAAAAAATGTGTTAATACATCTGTGGATATCAATTTCACACAAATCTTGGATAATATAGTTCAGCTTTCCAAGAGGCGATTAACCCGTAACAGCAAAAAAGCTTTAAATCGCAAAGACAAAAATTTGGACTAAAGTAATAAGTCAATTATTCAGTGTTTTATTTTTAGTTCACATAAAAATAACTTTTTTTGTTCACGTGCATTATAACAAATATCAGAAAGTAGTTCAAATAAACCAAACTGTTTTTAACAAAACATAACCTTAAAGATAATAAACCTAATATAACAATTACTGAGCTATTCACTATTTATAATACAACTTACATTAAGTGGCTCAATATTTATCCTACAACTAAAACACATTGAAGCACAGAATATTTTTGAAACTTTAAAATAAGTCCTAAGTAAGCAGAAGAGATAATATTAGTCTGAAAATGCTTAAGCCAACATTCTAGTAGGAACAATTTTAATACATGTGATGCGGAAACTAATTCAAAAACTACTGTTCATATCGTTATATTTATGATAAGATACATTATGTATAAATATCTTAAATGATAAACAAAATGAAAAACTAGAAATTTAAAAGAAATATTTAAAATGCAGGTGCTATAAAGAAATACAAAGTAAAATTAAAAAAATAGATAATTTATTGTTTTAAATATCAGTATTATCACTGTATAGAATATTAAATATTAGATATTTATAGTGTGGTATTAATCAATTAGTGTAAGCATTGTATAACGGATGTATAGGGTGTTCCAATAAAGAAAATTGAAGTGTGCATTGTGGCCAAATCCTAAAATATGAAAGTCTGAAATTCCTTTAAGCTATAACATTTATTATATTATTTAGTTATTAAGGTACATCATCCCCTCTACCAACTTAGATCTTTAAGAATTACTTGAAGACCCATTATATTACTTTAAAGTTGAGAGTTTTTGAAGTTGAATATTGAAGTGGCTTTATGTTTTATAAAAGACATATATATTTTATTATTTATTTCAAATTTATTTATCAAAATGATTTAATATAGATGCTATTGCTGGATGTAGTTGACTTGTTCAACAACAATTAGTGTCGCACTTTTTTTACAGAAAATTTGTTTTAGAACCAAGTAAAACATATTTACGTTAGAATTTTAATGTGATCTTGTCTTTACTTTTTTACATCATTAAACGTGATGAAGCAGCAATTATTGACTTAAATTATTCTTTATAGTTTTTTGTAGAGATGAGCAAAACTGCGATTGCTTTTAACTTAAACCAAACCAAATTCTTTAATAACCTGTCTAAAATTTAATATTTTTTTTTGATAATTCAAAGTTCATTTAAAAGATAGAATCAACAACTATCACATTTTGGAACTTGTTTGAATTTTGTCATATTTTATGATAATAAAAAAACCGGGCAAACATTCTTTGGTCCAAAAATTTTCAGATTTTTACAAACTTATTTATATTTTCACTAATAATAGCTTATTTGTCAATATTTTTTTAACAGTTGTTCGTAGGGTATCTTTAAGCAACTCACAATGTTTGAAGCATTTGTTTAATCGTTGTCGTGTGGACGAATTTGATCTACCCTGTACACGCTTTGCTTAAATGTAAACGGCACCAAAAATTACCTTGGAGTAGAACAGATGCTGGATCTTCCTGGAGAATGTCTCGACGTCCGGCCTCACCGAGATGAGCCTGAGCTCGGCGTTGGCGTAGCAGGACCACGAGCTGGACTCGCTCTCGCCGTTGCACTGCAGGAAGAAGCCCAGGGAGCGCTGGGAGGTGCGGTCCTGGCTGTGGCTGCTGCGAGGCATCACCATTATCTTCCATGGCAGATTGCGGACGTAGCAGGGGGGTGACAGAACGGAATCCTAATGAAGATAAAAAAATGGTCTAGTTAGAAATAATAAAATTTTAATGTAAATGGGTTAAAGTCTGCCTAAAAAGCCATACATACATATAAAGTAGAATAATAATATATAAATTCTGTTTCAGATGTTAATTTCCATTCTTTCTCAAATAAGTTGACCGTAACTTACATTATACAGGATCTGTAAAAAAATCGCAACATACAGATTTTTTATTGTTTTATTAAAAAAAATTTGACGTGGAATTTTTTTGTACAAGAGCATTTGTACATTTGTACTTTTTTTTTAAAAAACAAATTTTTATTTTTTTATGACTATTTGAATAGATACCTACAACAAAATAAATTTTACATCTCTTTGACCTGCCAATATCAACTTTATTTTTTAAATACAGCTCTGCATTTTTTATTAAGTAAGAATTTTAAAAGCTTCCAAAGTCCTAAAACCAATGATGTATTGCAATTATTGGAAAAATATACCGGGTGCGTCTCAAAAATGGTTCACCTCTATATTTTATTATTTTTTCATATAAAAAAACGAGATTTGGTATGTAAGTACATATATGACATAAATTAGGATTGATTGACGTATTCAATTGTTTTGGGTCACTTCCTGTTTCACCGGAAATGATAAAAAACTTGATTTTTAAATAACACCCTCGGTATATTTTTACTTTATTCGATAGAAAATGGAATAGAATGACATATCATATATCAACTTTTGACGTTTCACTACTCAAATGAAGAAAACATTCGACCAATGTGTACTACCAGTCATGACCAGGGTTCGGAAAACTACATGTTACTTTTAAAAACTACATATACTACATTACATGTAGTTAATGTAGTTTATGTAGAGGGTGTAGTTTATATAACCTATGTATGTAACTTTCAAATGTCAAAGGTTTGAGGTGAGGTTATAATAAGTTTTAAGAAAACAGGAGAAATATGGCTTTAAATATAATATTTACATCATATTATCTCTATTACACCTCATACAAAGGAAAATTATTCATAATATCAATACATAGTTTATTAACGTAGTTTTCATGTAGTTAATGAACGGGAAAAGACGTAGTTTTTGAAGAAAAACTACACGTAGTTAATCAGGTAAGTTACGTCTTAATTAACTACTTCCGAACCCTGGTCATGACCTATGCAAGTGAAACCTGGACACTTAAAATGGACATAATAAGGAAACTGCAGCTCGCACAACGCTCAATGGAACGAAATATGCGGGGAATAACCAAGAGAGACCGTAAAAAAATAGAGTGGATAAGACCCTGGTAAGAGATGTCATCCACAGAGTCAAATCCCTCAAATAACAATCGGCAGGGCACCTGGCAAGAAGAATGGAGAACAGATGGACCACAAAAATTACAGCATGTACCCACGAGGAATTAAGAGACTTAGAAGAAGACCGAACCTTAGATGAGATTATGATATTAGGAAATTAGCAGGGATAACTTGGGCCCGCATAGCCAACAATGGGTACTACAAAGAGAGTATGTGAGGGAGGCTACACTATAACTGTCAATGGTTGAATAAGCTGAAAATGATGATGATGATGATGATAACTAACATACCAAATCTCGGTTTTTAATCTGAAAAAAAAATAAAAAAGTTGTAGGGTCACCACATTTGAGACGCACCCGGTATATTAATGGCATTTTTCATAACTCGTATTTCAGAAAGAGACTCAAAGATGAAACAACACTATCTTTCTAAAATCAAAGAAGTGGCAATGAGAATGTGAAATTTATTTTGTTATCTGTTAAAATATTCATAAAAGAATGAAGTCGTGAATATTCGTTTTTTTTTTCAAAAAGAATTTTTAACTGTTAACACAGACTTGCAGAATGTAGAATGAGTAAAGGTATGATTCCGAAGACGGCGACAGCGACAAGCGACCGCGACAGAGGACAACGACAGGCGACAGTGTCGCTTATCGCTGTCGTCATATCATTGTCGATGTCGGCGACAATATGAAAGAGATCTACGATGTAGTTTTCAGTGTTCGTGAAATAGTTATAATTAATAAATAGGTCTGATTACGTGATTGATAAAAATGTGTTACTTGAATTACTGATAGAAGATGATGAAGAGGACGAAATATTATTGTTACTTGTTGCAAAGAAAAGAAGAAAACCCATTTTACCTCTGTTTAAAAACAGACCTAGGGAAGGAAGTTATTCCTTACTTATAAAAAAAACATTTATTCAGCGGTAAAATCAATTTTTGGTCAAAAATCTGCGTTTGCATATGAATGACGACACGACAGTACTGGACAAATACCGGTAGCGTCGTCGGTCGCTTAGACATGTTAGATAAAAACTGTCGCGCGACACCTGTCGTCGGATTCCGACGTTACTCCATTTGATTTCAAAGATCGGTGGAGGCGCAACATAGTAACGACAGGTGTCGCTGTCGTCTGTCGCTTGTCGCTGTCGCCGTCTTCCGAATCATACCTTAAGAGGGGGGGTTAATCACTGCGACCTCAAAGATCTATTGTGTCCCCCTTCCTTGAGTCATCACACAGTCTATAACCCATTATACCCCTGTTGTAGAGGGGACAGGGTATTTCCCATCCTCCTCCGACAACAGTTCTTCCTCCGAGGCTACACACCCTTCCACGGTTGGAGTTTGACCCTCCGTGCCGCCCTTCACAGTCGAGGAGCTTGCCTCCGGCTGAGGAACCCGTGAGGTGGAGCCTGGAGGATCTCCATTTTCTCCACCTCTTTAACTTGGTCTCTCCCTAGACCTGATACCGGTGTTGTCCCGTATCTATAATGGAGGATATGTCCCTTTTTCTCTATTGCCTCCTTGGATTTCAGGTCAATTCCTATTGTGAGGACCTGACCATGACCCTCCTTCCTCGAGTTGAAGATTCGCCAACTCGATGTCCTTACATTAAAGTTCTGACCCTGGATAAGGCTTAGCAGGTAGGTGGTGTCTTTCCCCTTGCTCCTCGGCAGAAAGACTATGATGGCCGCCCCTTTAGAGATGTTATCTCCCTTCACTGCAACCAGTTCCGGCCCTTGCCAATTTTTAAGCATAGGTGCGATTTCCACCAACCAATTCGCCGATTCTTGAGATACACAATCTATGAGGATCATGCCCACCCGAAAGTGTATCCCCGCAAAACGCAGCTGACCCACACAATTGATAACACAGACTAAATCTGTGCTGATAAGGTGGCATTTCGATCAGTATCAAATTACGCAAGAGTTGTTTCTCTTCTAGTGTCCTAAATTTCAATGATGAGGCTAACTATATATTCAATAACTCAATAAAAACAATCTAATTTATTGTAAACTTTTTTACAAACCCTGTATAAATAGACAAAATCTAAATTTTACATGCTAATCTAAATTTTACATTCAATAATCAGGGAATATAAAAATGATGGTAAAATACAGGCAGTGGAGTAGGTGTTTGAACTGAAGTGACCAGACCCCTCATTATGGACAGTCCGTTGTTCAGACACAGTGTCCGCCCCCAAAATTGTCCGTCAATATTACTCCATTTTTAAAAAAATATATATTAAAGCCAAATACAAACAAAGGCGCAGGTAAAAGCAAAATGATACTAAGATAGATATGAAATAGTAAGGGATATTTTATAGGAGTCAAAGTTGCGGACAACAGTAAAGAGTGTAAAGACACAAATATATCTTTACATTCTTTAAAATGTACGGTAATTACCAAACGGCAATATGATGACAACATCTTGGAAAGATTTTTTAAGTAAGGGATCATAAATCTTTCCTTAAAATGAATTTATTCGTACAAAAAATAGGCGAGCTTTTTGTTAGTTTTGAAAAAAAAACAAGTGCGCGGCGGACTCGCCCCCACCGAGGGTACAGATATCATATTTTTTCACTATATGTACTTGTAATATAAGTATTACTTGCCAAATTTCATAGTTCTAGGTCAACGGAAAAAACCCTATAAATTTTGATTTCCTTGGGAGTGTCGAAATATACGTTTTTTTTGCGGCATAAACGGCTGTATCTTTCTTTTACGGTAACTTAGAAGTTTGATTTTTTCACAGCTCCAAGGGACTGTAGACCTGAGTATATGGTTTTAATTTCAACCCAAAGGTATTGAACAAAGGGTCTTGGCAGACCAACGTACAGACAGACGGACAACAAAGCGATCCTGTATTAGGGTTCCGTACCTCAAAAGGAAGAAACGGAAAAAATTAATAAGAAAAAAACAAATAACGTTAAGTTTTTTTATAAATGTTTTAACTCAAATAAATGTTTTTTGAAACTCATAGTTTTTTTTATATAAAAAACACAAATGCCTCAGTATTCTCGCAAAATGTGTCCACTTCTCTGCCGCCTCCATCATTGGTTGACACAAAATCTAGTCACTTTTGTCTGAACACTCTATATGTTACATGGCAAAGGTACCCAAATAACAATCTACCTAAAGATTCAATTTAAACAGTAACTTTGGTCGCGTTCATCAGGACGTAGCGCTACTGCAGCCATCACTAATTTTCTGCTGAACGCGCCGATTAGTTGTGAGCGCTCTGGGATCAGTCGCCATTTTTTCCATCAGATTTAAAATACGCTACGCTCCCGATGCATGACGGATTAAACGTCACATACAGCAAATGTCACAAAATGTTTTGGAAAACGAAAACAAACTATTTTGTTTATTGTTCTCTGTTGACTAATCCCCTCGATTTGTGCCGAAAATGGGTGAAAACAATTCAGTCTAAGGGATGCTAAAAAGCGCGTTCAGCAGGACAACCAATCGATGGCACATCGCTCACTGATCAACTTGTCCTGATGAACGCGACCTTTGTTTTTTTTAACTAAAAATACCTTTTAATATCACAATTATTGTATTTTATTTGTTTCACGGAAGGAAAGACCCTTGAATATCACAAACATATTTAAATTTCTTTTGTACTCTGTTTTTCTTTGAATTCAAAAACCACTTAGTTAAATACTGTTTTATTTTTTACTATTTAAATATATTTACCACAAAAATCTCTGGGAATGTATTTCAACAGCATTTTTTTATAGATTATAATTAGATTTACACAGAGCCTTAATTTGATTGTAGGCTGTTATTTTCCACTATTTATTGCTAATGAAAATATAAAGGTTTCTGTAAGATTCCACCTAAAATGCTTAAAAAACGACGAAATCATTATATTTTAATAGAAAATTAAATAAAAATGAACCACTGTTCAAATAATTCACTGTATGAATAAAATCATTCTAATTTTAAATACTATAAAAGATAAAAACAGTTCTTTACTATACACTATTAATGTTTATAACATAAAAGCAGATTAAATTCTATATTAAGTAATTTTAAATAAACAAAAATTCTACACTAATGCATATTATTATTTCAGCACAGGCATACAAATATCTTCTTTATGTTTCTATTTAAAGTATCAAAAAAGTGACATCACAAAGGACTGTAAAATGCATAAAAAGGCAATGACAAACACAAAAGAAATACAAGTTTTATGATATGGAAATTAGAGATTATTAATAATGCATTTTTTTACTAAGTACAAAAGATTACCTAAAATTTGCTGACAAATTTGACTAAAAAAATACTAAAAAAAATAGGTTTCCAAATATCTGCATTTTTTTCTAGGTGAAATTAATAAATGTGCTAAAAACTACTAAGCAATTATTCTCAAATCTTCAAGAAAACTACTTACTTTAAGCTTGCTAAAGTTGGTAACAGTGAACCTAAAAGTGGCCTCGCTACGAGCTTCATCTTCTTCCATGTCAGTATCTTGGACAGCCATACCGTTCGGATCGGGTTGTGGACCGATAATCACTTCTCCATTCTGAGTCTGATCCATTTCTCCACCTCCGGTGTCTGTTATATAGTCCATATTATTCACTAACAGATATCAAAATTATTTTCAGTTAGTTAACTTTTCTTTTCAAGACAGATATATTTATTTCAATATATTTTTACTATTACATGCTAATTTACACAATAAAATCAGAAAAATACAGTAAATAAATAAAATTAAAGAACAATGATATACTTTTTTAGTGCAATTGTTAAATATCTTATAAAATTTCATTAGATTGATTCTATAGTAAAGTAAGCATTAGCATTTAAAAGGCTTTAAGTGTGATGATGCTAACAGTGATTAAAAAAAGGAAAAAGGATTACAAATATATCCCTTTCAAAATCAATGTTGACATTATCCTATGTTAAACGTTTATGGTAAACAAGCAACAAAAAATCTTTTATGCCGTAAAATTATGTAAATGAAATTAATTATAGTGTTAAAAGCTCGAAAAGTTTTTAGTTTGGCCACGTTTGGCTTAAAAAGTATAAAAACCTGAACCTTGATATATTTTTTGAAATATCTCTGAAATATAATTAAAGTGCGTGTTGGCTTAAAAACTAGTAAAAGGATAATGGGTAGTGATTAATATTAATACAAACATGCAAGAACTTTGAGTTTCTTTACCAAATAGCTACATAATGCCCATTGTTCTGCCATGGGTAGTTTTTAATTTGCGAGTTGTAAAAATTGTCAAACGTCAAGTTCGAGATGATTTTGTCAAACGTCATCGGCGAAAAGGATGTTATCATGGCAGATTGGGATTATTTATATTCTTTTTTTCAACTAACCTTCTTGAGTGTCCATCTCCTCCACCTCGTTCTGATTATTCGGAGGATTGTCCTCGTTCCTTCGGTACTGCCCCGTCACGTGGTTCATTATCGGGGGTGGCTGAATCAGGGGCGCAGTCTTGTCCTTACCGAAAACGTTCTTGGATTTTCTCGAATTGAGAGAGGCCTGCTTGTCGGCCGAAACTACGCGGTAACTCGCGTTGTTCCCGTTGTACGAACTGTTGTTTTTGGTGCCGGAGACGGTGGTAGTCAATTTGACAAAATGCTTACTCGCGATGCGCCCAATGTCTGCTATTTTTTACACCCCCTGCACGAGGGAAACCCACGAGAAACATATATACGTTTGTCAATTGTATCCTCTTAGAGACGTTCTACTTTAAATGACTACTAATCTGCCTTATTTTTCGATAATTTGCGGTGCCGACACTTCACTTTTCATATAAGAAAATAAACAAAATGGAGGCATTTTCTGCGGTTCGTCTTCCGCTCAAAAAACCTTTTGGTAGGGCAATTTTTTTGTGACAGCTGTCAGATATTTACAACATCTATCGAGAGAGACGTCAATCCGCAACAGAAATCTGCTATTACAGTATCCATTGTTACCGATATTTGGTCAGGTCCGTATTAAAAATTGTTTTATTAAAACCTGATTAAAACAATTTTATACAGGCATATGAGATGAGTCCTCTTTGATTGAAACTTTTGGAACTACGTATGAATTAACTTAAAATTAATACTCATTTTTAATGCGATATTAAAATAAAATTATTTTTTAGATTAAATAATATTTATTATAACCAAATTTTTTAAGCACTACGAAAAAATAACAGTAAGGGATAAAGGAGTATATGTGAAAATAATTTGTTTTTGTCTTTTTCTTGATAATTGATAGGGTCAACATGGGGTCAACTTTCGTTTAGCTGAAATCAATTATTAGAAAAAAAATTGTCTTTAAAAAGCTAAACTGTGAACCACGGAAAACACAAATTTTCCTGCGGAAATGCGTAATTTCCAAATTTCGCACTTTAGAATAACTGAAATCTGCTATAAAAAATACATTTTACGTTTTATTTTTAATATTTTTCTTAACATATAAACACAAAAATTTTCCTGCGGAAATAAGCTGTTTTCATTTTCTGAGGAAATTTAATAGACTTTAGAATAGCTGAAATCAGTTATATAAAAAATAAATATATTTTTGCCTTTTAGAAGCATTCACGAATTGAGGAAAATAAAAATTTTCCTGTGGAAATAAACTGTATCCATTTTCTGAGGAAATTTAATAGATTTTAGAATAGCTGAAATCAGTTATATAAAAATAAATATATTTTTGCCTTTTAGAAGCATTCACGAATTGAGGAAAATAAAAATTTTCCTGTGGAAGTAAACTGTATCCATTTTCTGAGGAAATTTAATAGACTTTAGAATAGCTGAAATCAGTTATATAAAAAATAAATATATTTTTGCCTTTTAGAAGCGTTTACAGTACGTCTGTCCGTTCTGTAGCTACGGGGTATCCGTGAGAGGGGAAACGATATTCTCTCGATGTTTTTCGTAAAAAAATAGACGACGCGTCCCATCAATAAAAATTCAACAAATTTGCAAGTAGCCAATAAAATGAGTGGGTGGAGCGATTTGCGGTGACGCACTCGTCAAATCGACGTATAAAATATATTGCTGTTATCCATTTTCTGAGGAAATTTAATAGACTTTAGAATAGCTGAAATCAGTTATATAAAAAATAAATATATTTTTGCCTTTTAGAAGCGTTTACAAACTCAGGAACACCAAAAACGTTATATAATGTTCAAGATTAAATTTGCTTTAAAATTTTAGTAGATACAAAACCGGGTGCGTCTCAAAAGGGGCTCACCCCTATAACTTTTTTATTTTGTTAGATAAAAAATGAGATTTGGAATGTTAGTATATGACATAAATTAGGATTGATTGACGTATTCATTTGTTTTCGGTCACTTGTGGTTTCACCGGAAATGAATACAAATTTTGATTTTTAAATAGCACCCTCGGTATTTTTTTACTTTATTCTATAGAAAATAAATGACACTCTGAATAGAATGACATATCATATGTCCCGGGTTATAACTCATCATACAGTCTCAGGGCTTTGACAAAAGCCAGTATGTGAGACGGCTCCACAGAGGCTAGCTCTCCATCTTCGAGAACTGATGATTTCCATTTACTATAATTTATTTGGGATCGTATTAGTTTTCGAAAGACGTTGTCCAATATACTCTGGATCAACGATTTTATGTAGAAGCTAATGGGTATGCTTATTCTTACCCCGTGCTGTACAGGGTGGGTCAAAGTGGACGATGTAAAAGGAAAACACCCTTTTCTATAGGAGATAGACGAAAACTAATATCGGTGTCTGGAGCTCAATTTTAATTAAAAACATATGATGGTGAAAACCGCACATCGATATGTTACCGTTTCGGAGTTACTGGGTGTTTTTCAAAAATGTGCATTTTCAACAAATCGCTGTAACTTTTTCGCTATGGAAAATGTCGTATTTTCGTGAAAACATTTCCAAAGCACTTTTTTACGTAGAATTTAATGGTTTAAGTATATTTTTTTAAATTCAAGAGTTGTCAACAGAAAAATTGTTTTTTTTATTTGGGACACTCTATACAGGTTGTTAATTAGTTTATTAGTCGCGGCAACAGCTTTATGGTTGAAATATGGCAACCACGGCCCAGTATGTGAGACGGCTCCACAGAGGCTAGCTCTCCATCCTCGAGAACTGATGATTTCCATTTACTATGATTTATTTGGGATCGTATTAGTTTTCGAATGACGTTGTCCAATATACTCTGGATCAACGATTTTATGTAGAAGCTAATGGGTATGCTTATTCTTACCCCGTGCTGTACAGGGTGGGTCAAAGTGGACGATGTAAAAGGAAAACACCCTTTTCTATAGGAGATAGACGAAAACTAATATCGGTGTCTGGAGCTCAATTTTTATTAAAAACATATGATGGTGAAAACCGCACATCGATATGTTACCGTTTCGGAGTTACTGGGTGTTTTTCAAAAATGTGCATTTTCAACAAATCGCTGTAACTTTTTCGCTATGGAAAATGTCGTATTTTCGTGAAAACATTTCCAAAGCACTTTTTTACGTAGAATTTAATGGTTTAAGTATATTTTTTAAATTAATAATTCAAGAGTTGTCAACAGAAAAATTGTTTTTTTTATTTAGGACACTCTATACAGGTTGTTAATTAGTTTATTACTCGCGGCAACAGCTTTATGGTTGAAATATGGCAACCACGGCCTTAGCCTTAGCTTAACTTAGTACCTACTCATTTGGAATGTATGCAGTGTTGCCATTCTGTTCCCCAATAAGTAACCGTCCAGTTAACAATCTGTATATTTTTAATTAAGCGAAAAGAACTTAAAATTACCTTTCCAAAAATATAGCACACTTGATATTTTGTTATAGCCCCCTTCGAAATACAGAATTTTTATAAGTTCGCCACTTTTAACTAGTAGGCTTTGGACCCCTTATTGATGATCTGCCCTAATGGAACTCGAAAACATATTTTTCCAGCAAGTCGAGGCACCGCCACAGAACGCTGAAGAATCAGCAATTTTTTGTAGCCAATTTCGAGAATAATTGAATAGCTAAACAAGATTCCAGCCGTTGGCCGTCCAGGCTGCCGGACTTATTAGTGCCTGTTATCCTTAGTGGATTTTTATCTTTGAGAAAGAATAAAGATTCTTATTTTTAAATAGCCCGTATAATCTAGACAAGAATTAGAAGTACTTAGTCGTTATGCGAGGGTATCTTTTACCCCCACGGCGCGCGCCTCGAAGAGGAAAATATCAAGTATGCTACATTTTTGGAAAGGTAAAATTAAATTCTTTTCAATGAATTAAAAATATACAAGGTGTCCCATATAAAAAATCAAATTTTCTGATGATAATTCTTAAATTATTAATTTTAAAAAAATTATACTTAAACCATTAAGTTCTACGTAAAAAGGTGCTTTGGAAATGTTACAAAAAATACAAAATTTTTCATAGCAAAAAAGTTACAGCGTTTTTTTTTTAAATGTACATTTTTTTGACCTACCAAACCAAACATAAGAAAATAGGGGCTTCCTCCTTAGTGAGCTTAATTTTGCTCTTTGCATAGCCTCGGATCATATATAGTGCCTTCATGCGGTTCATCTGTTGTCTTCTATGATTTCCACTGATTACATTACAGCATCGATGGAAAAATGAAAGACTAAAGCAATTGACTTCTCTGTTTTAAAGCTGGTACTAATGGCAAAAATAAGCCGTTATTTCATAAATCTAAAAATCAAATCACAAGGGCACATGCGGCATTAAAGAGATGCTCGTTTTTTATATGGGTTACGGACCGACTTGAAAGAGGAGCGCAATTCAATATGTCCGACCAGCCAGATTGGTCCGAAATAAAAGAAACCGAGGCAACAGGTTCTTTGTTTTGATTCGTGGTACTATTGCATTCATCTACCTTTTCCGCACCGTCACGGAAGACCGTAGAAGCGCGGCGTTGTCGGGTTCACCAAGTTTTCTGATATTTAATAATCAGAAGAAACAGGCAGTATTAAAACACACACACAGGAATGTTGCGCCAAGCCAATTAATGTTACTTAAGGGCCATTTTATAGGTTTATGGAAATTTCAGAAGTAGTTAATCCTGGATATTTGCTACGGAAGTATACAGGGTGAGTCTTAAATAAGTGCGATAAAATATTAATAATAATATAAAAGGGCGTAATATTTTCAGGGCTGGTAGATCGCCATAAAAGAAACATATTGTAGTGTAACAACCCAAATTCGTCAACAAAGTTGAAGAGGTAATATTTTGGCCAACTGTATAACAAGAAATTTAAATGAAAGAAAGGAACCTATATACGTTGTGTTAAATATTTTTTTATTGTGATGCGCCTCGACAGAAGCAATATTTTGGGAAATTTCAGGAGAATAGGTTATGTAAATAAAACGCTAAATTTGTAAATAGCCCTACTTATTTTATTAAATGAAATGAAAGGAGTGCCGTACTTTTGCCTGGAATTCACATGTAAAAGAGCACGGCAGAGAAAACCATGATCACTATTCCAGAGAATCTAACTATGCTCTCCTGAACTTTAATAAAAGAGAAATAATAATATAGAAGCTGTCCTCATACCTAGGTTTATAGTTTAATACATTCAAAACACGCCACATTTATATCGTTCAAAAACTGAAGAGGTTTTTGTTAGTTTAACGGGTCCCCACCCGTAGGTACAAAATCCCTTGTTGCGGAATCGAAGCTAAAGTTGAAGGTTTGGTGCCAACCATAAAATAATAAATACAAGAAGAAGTGTCAAGTCAATGTTAAATTATGGAAACAGCGTGGCTGCCTGGGTAACTAATTTTCAGATATGGCGGCTGGGACATTTGACATGACATAGACATGACAATTTCAATTTTATGAAATTTATTTCCGTTTCCGGTTTTTAATGGCGGGCTGTTCAGGAGGTTTAAATGAGGGTTAATATACTTTTTACTCTTTCTAGCAGTAAATAATACAACAAAATTACTCAAAAATATTTATTTGGAATTTAGAACAATGTAAATATGCAAATCAACACAATTAAAGAGCTATAATCCAATAAACTACTGTATCAATATCAAATATTTAAATAATATCAGAGATGCTGTGTTAAAGTGAATTAGTAAAGTAACAGTGCATTGACTTACAGAAACTTGAAGATAAATAAATGTTTTCACAGCTTCACGGGCATAAAACTAAATAACTGGAAGCAGGAAAAAGGCAACCGGAACCCACACAAAACCTGGAATCAAAAAAAAATATGTAAAAAACATAAATATAGGTACATAAGACTTTTGTGAATTAAATCAAACAGGACTTGAATGAAAACAAAATGAATAAAAAATATGATACATATACATCTAATACCTCATTTGTATTTTAAAAATAATCTACATACATAGATTTATAGCATTATTGCTATGAAAATACATAATAGCTATGTGATATGTAATTACGCATTTTTGTTCATCTTGTAGAAAATTAATGTAGGCTAATAATAGGTGCACCCCCCTGGTGCCAACATCTTATAATTTAATAAATTGGAAGTTATTCTATGAGTTATTCTATTTATCGTTTTTGTTTGCCCTTTTGCGTGCTAAGATATTCGCCCATGCAAGGTCGAAAATTGTTAGTACACTCAACAAGGCTCTTATTCTCACAAACCACAAACATCGGCACGAAGGAACAGTAAAAGATTTTATTTAAATTACTTTTAAACTGACATTATTTACAGCATAAATAGATTCCATTAAATGCATACACATGTTATATATTTGCTTTGTCAGATCAAACAAATAAAGAAATGCTTTAGAACTGAATTACAACAAGAAAACAAAATAATATGATTTAGTTAATATTAGTTAAATAATGAGAAAACATTTACTTTACCTTTAATAACATTCTTTGTAACAAAACTCAAGAACCAAAATAATATCAACGCGTCTCGAATGGTAGTCTAGAAGCTATTATCTAACAACAATCATCTCTGGTCGTCGCCTGATTTCCCTCTCCCTAGTTTGTGAATAATATTTTAAAAATCAATAATTTTGTTTATGTATACTGAGTGTCTTAAAAATGAATGTTTTGAATTTAAATAAATATGTCTATTTTTAAATAGGCGGTTCATCTCAATATATTTCTTCTTTACCGTTTTTGAAATAAATCCAAAATAACCAAGTTATTTTACTTTAAAAATTTCCAAAAATAGTTATTTTTGTATCTAGTGCGCGAAGTACTACTAATCACCAAAGTAGTTCGCGCACGAGTTGGGAAAAATCGGGATATCTCTAAAAATTATTATTATTATATTATTGCTTCGAAAAAAACCCGTAAGCTTGGCTTTTAATTTCGAAAAAAAAAATTCAAAATTGGATAGTGTCTCAATTCCCAAAACCCCCATATCTCAAGCAAAATCAGAACCTTTGATCAGAACTATCTAGTTTGAGATTAAGTATTGGTTCATGCACTGGTTGTACTATTAATGTTAATATTGTAAATAATAACTAGAATATGCATTAGTGTTAAGTTTGATATTTGTTTATTCTTGAATATTTCGAAATAAATAATTTGTTATGATTTAGTTCTTCATTTTCCAAAAATTAAAATTCCAAAATCCCGTATAATTTACATGCAGTGTGCGAAATAGGCATTTCGCGCATTACTTCGCACACCGTGTCATGGTAACGTAGGAAAATGAAAAAATTGTCTCTTCGCACATTGCTATCAATTCGCGAACCTTGTCATTTTTTGACGTTTGTAGAAAAAAAATATTTTTTGCTAAAATTTTCTGAACCACCCGATCTTTTCTGGGTTTTCTATCTTGTAAATTTAATCTACTACCTCTGTTGCCATATTATTAACAAATTATATTTTTTAACTAAAAAAATTTTCAAAAAATCCAGATTTTTAAAAAAATTTGTTCGCGAAAAAAACCTCATAATCGTGTTTCTGGGGTCGAAACATACTATTCCTAAAAATATTTGCACTTATGTAGCACCCTGTATATTTGAAACACCTGTATATTTGAAAGCAATTATTAAACTTTTAGTTACGTAATCAAAGGCGCGATTTTTAAATTCATTGTTGCCAACCATGGACATATTTGGTACCGGACTGACTAACTGGAATTTAAATTTCGCGCTGGAGATTCGGGTTGTAGCACTGCTGTAAAAAATGTCAAGTTGCCGCATTTACTTATTTATTTCCTAACATTGTCATTCGTTTGACACTTTAGTTTTGTATTACTGAGTTTTTGGTTTAAATAAATAGTGCTATGATACTTTAAGTTTAAAAATGTTTACTAGCAGACCTTGCAGTCGAACATTGTTCTTTTAGAACCTCTTTTAGTGCGGAGTGTACAAGATACGGCTTAATAGCCGTAAAAAACTTATCGCAACTTTATTAGAATATTTTGAACGGGAAAGTGGTAGTAATGGCATTTTATGTTCCTTAAGTGCTGTTAAGAAGGTGAGTTTCGTTGATGTAAATAATTGTTTATATTTATTATAATTAATTTATTTTTGTTTCCTAAAATATTTTTATTAAAAAAATATATGTACAGGCTGTCTCACTTAAGATGGATACAAGCCAATATCTTGGTTGTTTGTTGAGCGATCTTTTTCATTTTTTGGCAGGAGGCTATAAGACGTACATTTTACCCAGGGTAAGAAATGCGATATCTCATAGACGTACGTTTTAATGGGGTTTGATATTTTTCGAGTCAAGAGTAAACTACCCTTAGGACAGTATTTATTTCAAATCTGATAAATTATATTGAATCCTCCTTACCCAAGATACTTAAGTTCTAATTTTTATAAATATTGATATAGGGTGTGTTATTAAAATAAGACATTTTTATTTTTATTATTATTATTTTAAGTACTTACGACGCCACTGGATAAACAAATGGTTTATTATCAATAATAATCGATTTAAGTTTTCAGATAGCTTCCATAATAATTGGGATACGATACAAAAAAAACTAAATATTTTCAATTTATCTTGTTAACTTTAAAAAAAAATTAAGTTTGCTAATACAAATTAATAAATTGAGTTAAAAACCCAGTTTTCAATGGAATCTGAAATATAATTTTTATTCGTTTTATTGAGGAATATTTTAAAAAATCCAAATAGTTATTTAAAACAATCACTATCACTATTAACTTTGAAAAATATGCTCTAAACAAAAATTTATAAAACTATAACGAACTAAAAGTCAACATCTTCGACCATCTTCGACCAAACTTAAATCGATTATTAATTGAAGGGTCGGCCGTAACAACGTTGTATGTAACATTTTGCTGAAATGTGATGTTTCCCTAAAACAACGTTTTCTAAGCATATTTGAATGTATTGGCGCAACTGGAACCGAAAAATTTTGCCGGATGTCTGGCAATAGGACGATCTTCAGTCAGTGCAAGCCTTGCATTCCCGATAATAACGTTGTACGTGCGTTTAAGCGCTTAGTAAGAGGGCGGTGCAACTTTCACCCGCGGATATTTCCCACTTAAATAGGGGAAAAAAAGGAAACTAAATATAGAGAACTGGAAACAAAACGCGAGAAAACGTTCAAGAGATGCTGGAGAACAATATTCTAATTTATCTAGTACTAAGATTTTATTTTGTAAAACCAGTTTTCTGAAAATAATGTTTGCGTTATGTAAGTTCTTTCTTTAAAACCTTTATTAATAAAGTAAATCTATTAAAAAATCATTTGCTTTAATTTAATATACATTGCTTACGTGTAACAACGTTGTAAGTTACATGAACATACAACGTTGTTACGTGCATTTTCCACAATAATGACCTCTATAGTTGGATATTTCGTAATAAGCATTTTTAAAAATTATAAATCAGTATAGTTATAGCAACTTTAGTAAACTATACTAAATACGAAGTTTTATCATCACCTAAATGACCTCTTATCGTTTTTCGTGATTTATTCCATTCACTTCTTTTGTTATATACAACGTTGTTACGGCCGACCCTTCAATTGATAATTGGGTATAATTGGTTATTGATAATAAAAGATAATAAACCAGTTGTTTATCCAGTGGCGTCGTAAGTACTTAAAAAATAATAATAAAAATAAAAATGTCTTAAGTCAATATTTATGGCAATATTTATAAAAATTAGAACTTAAGTATCGTAGGTAAGGAGGATTCAATATAATTTATCAGATTTGAAATAAATTATATATACGTCTTATAGCTATACAGCCTCCTGCCAAAAATGAAAAATATCGCTCAACAAACAACCAACATATTGGCTTGTATTCATCAATTCATCATTCATCAATTAAGTGGGACACCCTGTATGTAAAAGCTGTGCCGGCCGGTCAAGTTTAATCACGTGACTAAAAGTTTATTTGATATGAACTAGACTTAAGCCCCGTTCTCAGGACTGCGTCGTGTCGCTGGCTACACAGTTTGACATTTCAAACAACCAATGAGAGCTGTACTAAATTTAAAATTGACAGCTGTTTGAATTTTGTACAAATCTCATTGGTCCTTTTGACGTGTCGCCCGCGACACGACGTCGTTCTGAGAACGGGGCTTTATAATACTCACACGGTCAATATTACCCTTATATTACTGATAGTTTTTGAAAATACTGTTAATGATACTGATCGTGTGAGGCCTTTCGTAAATTTATTTCCGTTTTATCTGACAGGCAAAACTAAGAGGTAAAACGTTATGTGTAGACATAGCTTTAACTATTCATAGTCTAAGTTCATAGTCTACTAGATTGTAAAGACCATTTAAAGACCCTCCGACTTCACATAAAGTACTTCAAAGAAAATTACTACAAATGCGCGACAACGCCGCGTTTTCCAACCTCTGCGGTACGAACACTATTCATTTTTTCCTCAATCGCTCAGTTGGTGAGCGGTGAGCTGTTCGGGTACTGTATGTCGTGTTGTAGTACCGTACTCATCTATACAGTACGACATCGCGGTACTGTCGCGGCATGACTTGTCGTCATTCGTAAAATTTAAAAACCGAATGTTTGTTGTGTACTTGTTAATAAACTAAATGTGTAATAGTACTTTGTGTATTAATCACTGAGATTTAAACAATAACAAAATGTTTGTGTAAATGACGTGGAAATAGACTGTTATTTGTTGTTTGTTGTGATGTGACTATGCATTGGAAAGTGGTGTTAGTTTTGGTTACAGTAGTTTATAAGAAGTACTGTTACGGATCCAAGATCCAGCCCATTGGATTAAATACGAATTTCAGTGATGGTAAATACCTACTCTTTAATATTGTTTATGTTACCACCCAATTTTCTTCTGATTTAAAATTATTTAAAAGTGTTAAAACAAAATAAAGGTTTGAGGTCCAGTTTTATACTTTCCGGTTAAATTTAAAAGGTCCGATTAAATTTATATCTCCGAAACCAAGGCCGAAACTAAAGTTTCAAAAAAAGTCATACTATACATATCTACAAATTCATTTACCCACCTGTAGATATAAAAAACATTTTTGGTAAACTCTGTCTCAAATAGTTTCTGAAAAATAAAAATAATTTTTTTAAAAGGTCCGATTAAATTTATATCTCCGAAACTAAAGTTTCAAAATAAGTCATACTATATCTACAAATTCATTTACCCACTAGTAGATATACAACACATTTTTGGTAAACTCAAAAAATAAAATAATTTTTTTTAAAAGGTCCGATTAAACAAACAATATAATCTGTGATTAAACTTTGACAGATTTTTCGTTTTTCAGTCAACTAACAAAAGGTATCTTATTAGAGATTTATTTTTTTCTTACCTTAAAATTTTCTTGTATTTGAAAGTTCAGTATATTTTGTTTTAGTAGGTCGATTTTGATGATTTCTTAGGTAATTTGTAGCTAAAATACTTCTTATACTTTTACTTATATTTTTAGTCTCTTTAAAAAATTAATAATTAAAATCTTCGTCTGTCCATTACCTACCGGGTGCTCACTCAAAAGTGGCTCACCTCTATAACTTTTTATTTTCTCAGATAAAAAGACGAGATTTGGTATGTTAGTAGGATGACATAAAATAGGGTTGATTAACATATTCAATTGTTTATTTAGAGTGCCATGGCTGTGTTAAAAATACTAATTTTTAACCAAGAAGCTTTGGAAAAATAGATTTGATCGTTTAATGTTTTTGGTGTCTTGTCCTGGCCGTTTAAAAGATGCTCAAATCGTATTTTTAATAAAATTTCAATTTTTTTTAAACGGAAGGAAGGTGGCTCATTAGCATATTTGAAAAAAACATTTTTTACGAAAAATTTGGTACCACACACTTGATATTTCGAGTCAAATTGTTGTTATGAACCGCATGTTACAATTTCAAATAAACAATATGAGAAAATGTCAAAAGTTGACAAATGGTATGCCATTCTACTCAGAGTCTCATTTTCTATCAAATAAAGTAAAAAAAATCGAGGGTGCCATTTAAAAATCAAAAGTTGTAGTCATTTCCGTTGAAACAGAAAGTGACCAAAAACAATTGAACACGTCAATCAGTTCTAATTTATGTCATATACTAACATACCAAATCTCGTTTTTTTTTATCTGAAAAAATAAAAAAGTTATAGGGCGAGCCACTTTTGAGACGCACCCGGTATACATGGTAAAAAAATATTGTTATTTGGCTGAAAGTTTCAAACATCCTGTGGAATGGTTTAAGAAAGTAAGGAATTTAAAAACTACTTTACCATCAAAATGCATACTTTTTCGATTGTTTGTTTCTTGACTCGTTTCTATAGCTTTATTTTTGTTGGAGATATTCACCTTTGAAGAAGATTGTAATAATTTAGAACAATTTTTGGCATTAAAACATGCCTTTGCTTTTGGTCCTAATCAACACAGCTATGAAATAGTGGTTATTGTTTTTGTAATGCCACTGTCATTGGGGGGAAAAGGCATATTATTAAATTTTTTGGCAGTTGATCTACCTAGTTTTGGTAAGCTGAGATGGCTTTAAGTCCATATCGGGTTATTGTTGCTTTAATTGGACATGATAATAATCAACTTCTGGACTTAAAGTAAATGAATGATATAGTTACTTTTTATACAAGACGATAAAATGGTATTTTATATACGATAATGCAATTTTATCGTCGTGTATAAAATAATATTTTTTTCCATAGCCAGTTACGTTTTAAAAAATATTCAGAAATTATTATTTCAAGGAATTTATTACGAGTAGAAAAAATATTGTGCTGGCTTGGCTGGTTGGTTTCTATGTAATTTGATAAATAAATAAAGCTGTCTGTTTAGTTGTCAGTTTTGAGTCAAAATTTTTTAATTCTCTTTCGTGTCGATTGCTGATTGAATTGGAGCCAGAAATGGCTCAAAACGAAATAAATAAATTACCAACAGATATTCAGGCTGAGGCGACAAACGCCATATCCAAACTACTTCCATTTAAATCCCGAATAACTTATGAAAAGGAATACAAAAATTTTCACAAATGGAAGCAATTAAAAAACGTGCGAGAAGAAATAAAGTTTTTAACCTATCCTCGCTGTTAAAGTATCATTTAATCTACCCTTGCGGTTAAAGTACTATTTTATCTACTATTTTTGATAGATATAAGACAATCTTAACAGTTGCTATGGAGTTGCAGTAAAATAATAAGCTTTTTCAATATCACTGATATTAAAAACAATTACCACAATTTCATAGGTATGTTGATGAGGACCAAAAGAAAAGGCATAAATTATTGTTGTAAATCATTACTGTCCTCTTCAGAGACGAATATCTCAAATAAAAATAAGCTACAGAATAGCAAATAGACGAGTCAAAGAAAACTACGAAGAAAAGATACATCTTGATAATAAAATAATGATGGCAGTACGCAGTAACGTAGTATCTATATTATTTGATGGCTTTTTCATGGCAGCTCAAAGACAAAACGTCGATTGGAAAATCTGACGACACCATCTTCAAAAACGTTCAAAAAGAACAATGTTCGACTGCAAGGTCTGCCAGTAAACATTTTTAAGATTAAAAGTATCGCAACACTATTTATTTACACCAAAAAATCGTAATACAAAACTAAAGTGTCAAAACGAATGACAGTGTCAGGAAATAAATAAATAAATTTGGCAACTTGACATTTTTTACATCAGAGCTGCCACCTGAATTCTCAGCGGGAAATTTGAATTCCAGTTAGTCAGCTCGGCGCAGAATATGTCCATGGTTGGCAACAATGAGTTTAAAAATTGCGCCATCCATTACATAACTAAAGACCAATGTAATTGCATCCAAAAATTGCATCCAACAATTTTTATGAGGGTTTGCTTATGTATAATTCCTTGCCCGACGCAGTGAGAAACGCAGGTACGCTGGTAAGTTTTAATAAGAAATTGTCTACTTATTTAAAGGCCTAGGAATAGTATAAATTGTTTTTGTAATGCTTGTATGTAATACTTGTGAATGCTTATTACTCTATAGCCTTTGGCATAAGTTAGTTGTATTGTTTGTACTAGCAATATGCTAAATCAAGATTATTATTATTATTATTATAACATCAATTACTGTTTTCGTTAAATTTCTGTTGGCAATCATTAAACCATTTATCAAGAACAGAAAATTTCCAGGAAAGGATAATAAAAAAATATGTCGAGTACTTTAAATGTATGTTCTATGTACCATAATGGAAAGTTACAAACATTCGTAGATGAAGTATACACCTCGGTATACACGAAGGGGTACTAACACAGTACTAATTTGATTTGCAAATGTTTGACGTAATAAGATCAGGTTACTTGTTAAGCAAATTCGACTCTGTGTGAATCATTAGCGATAATTGCTTTTAATTATGTTCAGTTCGAGATTAAATCTTGTTTTGATTTTACCATTTCCTTTAATGACATAGATACTTAAACTTAACTTAAGCACTGAAGATGTAAATTCTATGTGTAAAAGAATTATTTACAGCAATTTATATACATTATCTGTGGCCATATCTGGTGTAAATTAAGTGTGTTTGCTGCTGACTTGTGATGAAAGAGACCAGTCTTGATCTTGCACAAAAAGCAAGACCAAGAATAGCGTTAGATCTGAAAAAGAGCAAAGCCACAAAGGCTGTGACAGGCTGTATCTTGGATTGTTAATGAGAACGATTGCAAGATCTGCTAATAGAAATTTTTATGCTTAAAGTATCACTGCACAATTCATTTAAACCAAAAACTCGCAATACAAATCTAAAGTGTCAAAACAAATGACAATGTCAGGAAATAAATAATCAAATGTGGACTTGACATTTTTACAGCAGAGCTACCACCTGAATCCCCAGCGGGAAATTTAAATTCCAGTTAGTCAGCCTGGCGCCGAATATGTCAATAGTTGGCAACAATGAATTTAAAAATCGCGCCCTCGATTACGTAACTAAAAGTTTAATTGGTATCGCTTATAGACCTAGAGGATAGTAATGATTAACCTATCTATCTATCGTATGGCTAAACATCACAACAAAACATGGAATTACAATCACTGCAGAAGTAAAGAGCAGGAAACAAGTATGCGTGCAAACAATAATAATAGTTTGACAAGATCCTAAAATGTACAAACGAATATACATATAACAAGTATTACAAACAAACATCTAAATTACGGATGTATTCGACTGCACTGTCTGTAGCTTCCAGGAAATCATCAAAGGGACCGGAATAGGATCTTAAAGGGCATGCTTCTACTATGTGCCGGATATGTGTCGCATTCTGGGGAAGCTGACTTTCCCCATTTAAACATAGAATCGGCACACCTCCCATGATTTGTCCTTATCCGGTTTAACGCAGACCATGTTTTACGTGGCATGTCAAAGCCTGGTGGGTTCTGAGTTATAGCCGGCATATTCCCGGCGTGGTCTGGTAACTCTGATTCCCATTCCCTAATCCATGACTCCGTTAATTTAAAACCGTCCCGGTGTAAGCTGCTTGCGGTTGTTAATGTTGGACGTTCGGCAGTTGTGGCATGTTAGTAATTTTAGTGTATTCTCTAAAAAGTGCATACTGCCTGCGTATATGTGGTGGAGAAATATTACTTAGAATAGGAAGCCATTGGGTGGGAGTTGATTTTATTGTTCCTGATATAATACGCATTGTGTTGTTCAATTGGACGACCACCTTTGCTGTGTGAGAACTATTGAGCCACACCGGGGCACAGTACTCAGCAGTAGAGTAAACCAAACCCAGCGCAGAGGAGCGCAAGGTACTCGCGGATGACCCCCACGTGGTGCCGCATAATTTATGGA